CCTGGGCACCCTTCTCTGCATGGTAGGGATGGGCGGTGGGAGCGGCTCCAGCAGGAGTTAGCAGACTCCTCCCACCCTGCCCTGCCCCTCACCCCAGCTCAGACCTGTGCCCTTTCCACCCAGTTCCCAGGCCCCCTTAATACCCATGAAGCCATTAAATATTTAAATGCAGGCTGTGTGGCAGCCAGGTTGCCCCAGCAACAGCCCTACATATTTTGGGATGGATTACCAAGTTTTTCAAAGGGTCTCTGGCAGCTCCATGCCCTGAGGGGGAATGAAATGTGGGAAGGGAGAGCTTGCCTGCGGAGGAAGGTTAACCGGGAGCTTGGGGCTTCTTCCCCTCCCTTCCAAGACAAGGAGTTGCGATTGGCCGTGAGAAACAACCAGAAGACGTGAGGGTCCGAGAAAAGACAGGCTTAGCCAAAATTTCAGAATCTGGACTTGAACTCAGGACTCGTTTGCCCGTTCCTTCTCTTCACCACTTGCTTCTGCCTCGTGGGTGTGTTGTGTAATAGCCTGTCAGCCAACAGGCTTCCTAGTACATAACAGCAGCGTGCCTTCTGGGGTCTAAATCCCAGCTCTGCCCCTCACCAGCTGGGCCACCGTGAGAGGCTTATTCACCTTCTCTGAGCCTCAGTGTACTGGGTGACTCGGGGATACTTCGCCCATTGTAGATGATGTTGGAACCGTGCTCAGCATGGTTCCTGGCACACATGAAACAGAAGCAGTTGTTATATTGATAACATTCTGTCCGGTATCCTCGTGTGCCCTGGGACTCAGAGGGAGTGGGAGACACAGCTGCAGCCACCTAAGGCTTGAATCTGGTGGGGGAGGTCTGGCAGCAATGGTATATATACGGAGAACACATCCCTGCCCCTCCAATGCTGGTGCGAGTGTCCGGTTCCCCCACTGGGAGGCTGAGTTGGCTTCCTTCCCTTCCCCTTGATGTCCCGCCATCTCCCAGAACCTGAGTGTCCCTGCCACCATCCAGAAGGATTTCCCAGGTGTGCCCCGACTGCACTTGTCCTCCCTGGACAAGGGACAGGGTGGGATTGGCCTCAGGAGGAGGGAGGGCGTCCTCATTCTGCCCTCCTTTGCCACTCCCAGCCCTAAAGCTACTCTTCGCTGTTGGGCACCGTACTGGACTTGGACTCTGGTGTTCTGTGGTCAAACCCTCTTTCCGATACACAGAGTGACCTCCACTCTTCTTGCTCGTGCCCAAGTTTCAGTGGCCCAGGTTGCCTTGCCTTGAGCACCTGGACCATGGCAAGTAAAAGTCTCTGCAAGAGGATGCAAAACCTTTGTCCCCAGAGGCCTTTGCAACTGGGTTGTCCCAGTGCAAGGGCCGGAACAAGGGCCCATCGCTTGTGTCTGGGACAAGCGCCTTCCGTGGCTTGAGTCCAGCCCAGGTCCGTGTGGAGGATGGGAGGCATGGATTGTGTTCACTCTGGGGATCAGCAGGCCCAAAGTCTCCAAGGCCACACCTCTGGAGGACAGCCAGGACACAATTGCTGTGTCCCAGCAATTCCTCCAACCTACTGTGTTACTTTGGGCCAGTGACTTCATCTCTCTGAGCCTCAGTTTCCTCATTTGTAAAGCAGGAGTGACCATCTCCTGGGGTGGTTGGAAAGATTCAGTGAGGTAATACATGTGAAGTGCTATTGGAAGTCAAAATAAATTAAGATGGCAGTCTTGGGAGGCTGCCTTGACTGGTGGGGAAAGCAGCAGGCTTAGAATCAGGAGCTCCTGGGGCCAGCCCTGCTGACTTTGGGCATGATCCTTCCGCTGTCTGGGTCTCAGCAACCCCAGTGTGAATAGGGGGAGTTGGAGTTAGTCCTCACTAAGGCACTTCCTCCTTTGAAGATCCTCTGATGGAAACAGCCCAGGGGAGTTCTGGGTGGGGCAGAGGAAAGGGCTTGTGGCAGGGACTGGGCGCCAGGTACTGGTTCCACTCATAGACCTGAGACAGGGCGTTCCCAGATGCTGCAGGTGCTCTCTGCCCCCTGGACGTTGACAATTCAGTGAGCGTGGAGGCAGGGTGGAGGCTGCCATTTAGGATCCCACTGCAGCCACCACAGGCTGCCTGGTAACCCTCAAGGCGCTGTCCCCAGGAGCCTAATTAAATTTTATCCCCCGTTCAGCTGTGTCCATGTCCCCATGTCCATGCACCAGGCACGCCAGGATTTAGGGCCAATTGCTTATTTACAAGACCGTCTGTCTCGGGATGAGGTCCAGCCAGCAGAGCCAGCAAGCAAATCAGTCCTCCCCCCCCGCAGCTTTGAACCTGATGGCAAGAATCATTATTCTGACCAGCCTCCACCCCCATCCTGATGAGGGAGAACGTGGGCCTTAGAGTCAGACAAACCTGGATGTCAGTTCTGGCTCTGGGACCTTTGTAGCCTGTGAGAGCCTTAGTTTCCTCATCTGTAAAAGGGAACGCTGATAATATCTATTTTGCAGAGATTTTTGGAGGATCAAGGAAGATTGTCATAGGTAAACGCCCATGGCACAATGCCTTGCATTATCATTAGGGCCCAATAAATGTAGATCTTGCTCTGTTCTCCCCGCACACCGGCCTCCCCAGCTTCTGGTCTCCAGCATTGGCTTCTCTCTCCGGCCAGCCATGCCCATAGCACTTGGTTGATGTGGCTGTTAACACTCCTCTCCAAGTACCGGGTTATTGATTCTCACTAGACTTGAGTGAGTCCTTGAGGGAGGGAAGCCCCTGGTCTCTGGTCTCTGTGCCTTGGACCAAGCCCAGAGCTGGCACTCGTAGGTGTCTGGCACACACAGGAAGGAAGGACGCGGATGTGCAACCGCTAAAGTGCTTTCACCTACGTCATCTCCTTCAGTTCTCTCAATGACCCTGGGAGTTAGATCTGAGAATCCCCGTTTCACCGATGAGGAGAGGGAGGCTCAGAGCTGAGGAGGCTGGGCCAGATCTCACAGTTTGACAGGGCAGAGACCTGCTGGTTGGAATTCAGGTTGCAGATGAGGCGGCTTCCTGGGGACGCCGAGACTCTGTCCTGCACCACAGCGCCCTCACCTGGCCCGAGGCGCATACGAGACATTTCTCACTGCGGCAGCCCCGATCTACATTTGCTTCCTCTGAGCGGGGCTTCTCCATTGCTCATACCCACCTGCCTCCTTTTCTCTCTCTCCCCAGAAAGCATGCCCCGGGGCCGCGGACAGTGGAAGTAAAAGGAGTGATTTATGAACTGAGCTGTTCTTCTTAATCAGAGGACCTCTCCTGGGCCCACTCTGTACAGATGGGAATGAGTCACCCTCTGGGGCATTGGGCGGGGCAAGATTAATAAAGCTGTCTGGCCCAGACAGGGTCCTACAGAGGGGAACCCTGAGGCGCTGCGTGACCTCGCCCCATCTCTGCCCCTCTCTGGGCCTCACAGCTCCCATCTGTCAACAGATGGCAGGATCGGGTCATCCCCCAGAGGCATCCAACTGGCACAGGGGCGGATGCTCACTGGCTCCCTGGGACTCTCTGCATGGTTGCTGGATTCCGGGCAGAGCAGCACCAGGTTGGACACTCTGGGGACTGAGGCACAGCACTTCCTCTGTCTGGTGCCACATGCATGGACTGGTGTTTTGTCAGGAGCTCTGGTTTGAAGTTCAGCAAACTTGGGCCTGAATCATGGCCGTGCCTTACTAACCATGAGACTAAACTCAGGCCAGTTAATTACATTCTCTGTGAAATGAGGTAATGATGGTATCCACCTCCTAGGTGAGGATTAAATAAAAGAATGCAAGAGGAATACTTAGCAGGGTCTGGTACATGGTAAACATTCAATATTATTAGTTATTATTAGGCTCAGTTATCACAAAACTATAAAGATTAATTTGAATTTGGGGCCATGTAGAGAAAAGGTGTTTCTATGCACCCTGACCAAGCCCCACACCCACCTCCATTGATAACTGATGAATGTGGTTTGGGCATCCAATTATTTCTAATATATGATGCTGCTGGTAGTAATAGCTCCGCATGGGAATAGTGCTTTATAGGTTTCCAAGTGTTTTCATATCATATCATTTCATTTCATGTGTTTCATATTATGAATTTCTACAATCACCTTTGGCTTCAAAACTGAGAATCACAGTTTTCAGAGGAGAACCTAGCATCTCAAGGAGGGTAGCGACTTTCCAAAGGTCTCAAGGGAGCTGGCCAAGGCAGGTGCTTTCCAGGCTTTGCGGAAGCAGTGGTGATGGAGTGAGCATTGACTTCATGAATGGGAAGGAACCAGAACTGGCAGCTGAGACCCAGAAACCCCCGCTTCCTCCCCATGGGAAGGCCCCCCATAGCCCATGTTCTCCTGGGCCTCAGATTTTTCCCGGAACTGTCTCTAGCCCAGTATTTGAGCAGGACCTGGCTGTGGAATTCCCCACAAGTACAGTAGAACAGGACTGTCCATCTGGGCCCCTTTATTGCTGAAACCACACCTCCTTTCCATTGCTGAAAGCTGGCTCTCTAAAGGAGCCTTCTGGCAAGTCCTTATGCAAAGCTAAGGAACCCTTTCCAGCACAAAAGTTCTCTCTCCTGGGAGTCAGGCTTTCTGGGGAGGGGGTGGATGAACAGGGACCTGCTGGCACTCTCTCTGCTGAGGCATCACTACAGATACCCAGGTAGCATCCAGGTGTGTAGGCCACCCCCTCCCATCGTGTCCTCCCAGTTCATCAGCCACATGCAGCATGTCAGCATAGATGTAGCCCGTTCCAGAAACTGCAAATCTCTTGAAGATGTGGTTCCCCACGCAGCCCCAGCAAGGGTACCCAGAAGCTGCAATCTGGGTGGAAGGCGGGCACTCCATGCAGGCATCCCCAGCTGGAGGGGCCCACGTGTTGAAAAGTTTTCATTAGCATTAATGGACCCAGAGTAGCATGGCGCTTGCCCTGAGTGTGTTTCTAGAGGGTGGGTTTTCATAAACAGCTTTTTGAATGTTGCTGCTCCTTAATGACTTCCTGTAGTAATTGAATATTTTCTCTTCTAGGACAAGCTGGGCCAATAAAAGAAATATACAGGAGCCCCTCTGACCAGGAGACTCCGTCCTGCTGACGCCTAAAGAACTGCCCAGGTGACAAGTCAGCAATTGTGTCCCTCTCTGTGTGCCCCTCTGCCCCACCCCCTGATACTGCCCCATTTCCCCTCAGTTCTTTCTAGTCTGTCTCATCCCATATTACTTCTTGCTGTCTCTCTCTTTCCCTGTCTTTCTCCTTCAGTCTTTCTCCATCTTTCTCTCTCTTTCTGACTTGTTTTTGTCTATTTCTCTGATTGCTGACTCTCCGTTGTTCCCTGTCTCTATTTTCTTTTCCCTCATTCATACATTCATTCATTCATTCATTCATACAGGTATATTAACTGAGGACCCACCATGTGCCAGGTGCTACTCCAGACACTAGGAACACGGCAGTGAACAAAACAAGCCCATATCTTTATGAAGCATACATTCTAACAAAGGAAGACGTGTGCTACCAAAATAAATAAGTAAAACATCGAGTATGTAATATATCCACAGACATTGCCCTGGGCTTCAAGAAACAGGACTCCAGGCTCAGATCCCTCACTAATTGGTTTTGTAACTTGGCCAAACCCCCTTTCCCTTTCTCAGCCTCAGTTTTCTCATCTCCAAAGTGAGGGTATTGGGCCAGATCAGTGCTGCCCTGCCTTTTTATGACCAAGAATTTCTTTAACTTGAAATGCTGGTGACATAAGTTATACAAGGGCTAAGTTCTAAATCAACATTTACACAAACAGTAGTGTCAAATAAAAGTTTCCCTTAAATCCCCTTAAAGCTCTTAATCATCTGGTTTTGTTATATATGAAACAGTTGGTTTCATCTTGGGGGTTCGGGGGGGAACACTCACCTGTAAGCCTGGAACCCTCCCTTGGTCAGGCATGGGGACTCTGTGACAGGCACCGGAGCCTTGAGACCATGAGATCCACAGCAGCAGGTCCGGGGCTCCCACCCATGGCAGACGCCCACGTGGAGCCGCAGCACCTAAACTGCTTTCCTGTGCATGTGGGGAGTTAAATTCACAAAGTCAAGTTCACCCCTGATACTGACTTCTGCATTTTATCCCTTTGAGTCCCAAGATGTAAAGGACTTTATCTGCCAAACAGTGCCACCTCTACCAAGTCATTTATTAAGTATATGTTAACGTTTCTCCTTAGTTTTTGTCCTGCAAAGTCCTACATACCTAGTGGCCAGAGCTTCTGAACAACCTGAGAAACGGGGTCCCCCATCCTAGGGTGGCTTAACTGCTCTAAAACCCAAGACTCTTGTCCCTTGAGCCAGCCGGTGGTGAAGACATGTTTCTACGATGTTGTTTGGTGTCCTGAAAATAGCTTTAGGATATGGTTAGTCTCAGGGAACCCCGTTTGAGAACCACTGCACACACTCACTCTCCATACTCAGAAATCCCCCACATTAGAGCCCTCCCCTCTTCTGACGCAGAGAGCGACAGCTAATGGAGCTGGTTGGTATCTGGAAGAGCAGGTAGAGGCGCCACCTGGTGACTGGGCAGCAGGGAGGAAAGAAGAGACAGTGTCAGGTGTGGCGTGAGGAGCTGTACATATATTCTCATTTAATCCTCAGTCCATACAATTTCCTGAGGGGGTCAGCATTTCCGGTCGCATGCTGCAGACATGAAAGCAAAGGTACAGAGGTTGTGTGATTTGTCCAAGTTCAGAAGCCTAGAAGGTGGGAGAGCTGAGTCCAGTCTGACCCTGTAGCCCCCACCCACACTGATACTCTCCCCTCAGGGTCCCTGTTGGCTCCCCTTGGTGGGCCTTTCATTTCTGGCCCCAGGGAGGGCATATCATTACCATGTAGCAGAAAGGCCCCCAGTCTCCTTCATAAGTGCTTTTGAAATATCTTTTCTGAAGAACTAAGCTCTTGGACCTTATGGGCTCAAGTGTCTTCTCAGCCCACCTTCCAGAGATTATCTATATTTCTACTCTCTTTAGAGGTAAATTGGGGGTATGGTGATACTACTTCCAAAAGACTCTGTGGGTGGGTGGAGCTAACAGCCAGGCCAGGTAGGGATTGGAGAGTCCATGTGTCTGTCATTCTTGTCTGGCCAATTGGCTGTAGAGGTGTGTCCTCATGATCGGTGGTAGATGATGGCCCAGGGGGCTGTTTCCCTTGGACAGTAGGAAATAAATTGGCATAGTAGGTGTGAAGACAGGCCTGAATTTTGGAGGATGGGTGAATGGGGCAAGGAATTAGCATTCACAGAAAATGATTATTGAGAGTTGTGATTCCAGATTAAGACAAACCTGGGTTCAAATCCTAGCTCAGGCACTTCCATGTTGTGTAATCTTGGACAAGTGACTTTACCTCTCTGAGCCTCAGTTCTCTCACCTGAATAATGGAGATGACATTACTCTTATCCTGGAGCTTAATGAGGAATGAATGAGATTGTGCATGTTTCTTGGCACATAGTGAGAACTCAAGGTATGCCAGCTGTTACTAGCTGCTGCTGCTGTTAGCTACCATGTGCCAAACTCTGGGCTCAGTATTCTCCATGCATTATCAGGAAAGCATTATTTTTATACTAATTTTAAAGACAAGGAAACTCAGATGCATGCAGTTCGGGAACTTGCCCCAGGCCACCCGCTAAGCCTGCCAGAGCCGGGATTTGAGCCTCTGTCAGGCACTAAAGCTCTCTTGCCACTGTCCACCCTGCCCTGGAGCTGGAACCGGGCCTCCGTAACTCCATTCACCTTCTGACACATCATCTTCTTTTCTATCTGCCTCACCTTTGAAGTTGTTAGAGGCTCTTCCCAGGAGACATGTCCTTTTATTGCATTTTTCTGGGAGCCTAATACTCCATAAGCTGCCCACTCAATGTCATCTCTAATGAATGTTGGACATAATCAACACAGGTAGCCTGTTTATGAGCTGCCATATTTATTATGCCCCTTAATTGCTAAACAGCCAGGGTCCACTGAAAGCTGGAACCTGCCCTGGAGAGCAGCTTTGTCTGGGTGGGCAGAGAGGAAGGATGCTAGAGCCCAGCCTCCTGCAGACTTCTCAGCATCTCACCAGAGCAACTCCTTCTGCCCTCCGAAGGCCCATCCAACTTCGAGTATGACAGAGGAGGAGCCTGGGCTTAGGGATAATGATCAAGATGTTTGACACCTGGTGGGCACTGGCATGGACCAATCAGAAGAGATGCTGGCTAGACAGCAGGCCAGCCATACCCCCAGGTTCCCACTAATCTCAGCCTTCCCACTGCCCACCAGGAGGGCGGGGCCTGGTTGGGGTAGGGCCTCCTGGTCCCGCCCATTGCCTCCCCAGTGATGTCATGGAGAAAATGTGAAAACATGAAATATCGAATACGAACATGACTTGTGCACCTTAAGGTCTGACTTGTGATAGCAGATGCTGTCTGCTTCCCCGGGGTACGGGGAAGGGTTGAGTCTCATTGGCTTCACACCCTAGTGCCTGGCATCCAGTTGATGCACAATAAATGTTGGCAGAATAGAATTGTATTCAGTGACTCGCTAGCGCATATTTTCAGATAAGGACAGGGAAGGCTCCTGGGGGAGGTGGGATGCTGGAGGTGGTCAAGGCATGGGCAGGGTCTGACCTCAGAAGCAGGTCTTGGGCCCCCAGTTAGGTGGCCCCCACCTCTTTTCCCTGCAGCACCCCTCCGCTGAGCAGTCTTGTGGGCTGGAGGGCATGTACGGTTTTGGGAAGTTTGTCAGGCCTGGGCTCTGATCCTGATTCAGGACCTTGGTAAATCTCTCAAAGCTCTGAGCCTCAGTTTCTCACCTACCAAATGGAAGGTTCACCTCAGCAATCAACTTATATCATCATGTAGCACCCTTGAGCCCTTGCCACATGCTAGACCTCTTGCTAGCATGTCACTGCATTATTTCAGTTAATCCTCACAACACTTGGAAAGAAGCTTCTGTTTTTAATCTCCATTTTCAAGTTGAAGAGAGCAAGATTCAGAGAGGTAGAGTAATTCGCCCAAGGCTACACAGCAAATGAATGGTAGAGACAAGCTTGAACCCAAGCGGTCTGGCTCCCAAGTTCTCACTCCTAAACCTGGCCCTACAGGGTAAAGAAGCATCTTTCTTGGGAGAGGAAGTTATCAGCCTCCCTCTCTCCCCACCCACTGCAAGAGCAGGCTGGCTGCTGAGATCCCCCCATGGGGGAGGGAATTCATTCTGGGTGGGGTTCAAGAAACTGGGGGACAGGGGTTCATTCTGGGTGGGGTTCCCCCAGTGGGAAGACTGAGGGCCTTGCTATTTCTTAGGTGGAGCACCATGGAAGGCGACTGTCTGAGCTGCATGAAGTATCTGATGTTTGTTTTCAATTTCTTCATATTTGTAAGTATTCCTGGAACACGCCTGGGGTCTTTCTAGCCCTCTGCTGGGTGGGCAGAACCAACTGCTGCTTAGAAATAGTCACACTGAGCTGAATCGCAGGGGTGGGAACAGGGGCCAGGGCTAGAAGCAGATCTACCTGGGGGGGAGGCCCCCAGCAGTGCCCACCCCTCTCCAAAGAGCCTCCTGTCCTAGGAGAGACATTTTGCATGGATCCTGAGATGGTTCAGTTCCTTTGACAAAGGGTGAGGGCCTCAGTCCTCGCCACTGTCTTGGGCTCTGACCCCTGGTGGGGATTAGGGGAGGAGCAGGAGATGGGGGTGGTCAGAAGGCAGCAGACGAAGCCTCAGCCAGCTCTGACACCCCTCTCTCCCCGCCACCCAGAGCATTATAGACTTCAGAGCTGGAGGGGGAACTTGAAGGAATTAGAAACCTCTCTGGGACTAGGAGACCTGGATTCAAAGCCCATCTGTGCATCTTACCAGCTATGTGATTTGAAACACATTTCACCTCTCTGAACCTCAGTATCTTCATCCCTTAATTACCTACCTCAACAGGTTTTTCGGAAATTAAGCAAGATCAGAAAGTGCCTGCCATGTGTCAGCACAGAATACCTTAGCTCTATCCCCAGCCAACCTATGGATTCTCTCGTAGAGACAGCGCTCCGAGTGCTCAGGTGGTCAGCCCAATGCCCTACAGCACAGCCCACCTGCCAGCAGCCCACTGCGAGCTCTGCTCAGGCCTATGGCCTTTCCCAGGAGAGAGCCGCACTCCTGGTGTCTTAAGTCCCTCAAGGCTTTTTGCACCCCGCCTCAACCTTTGACCTTAGTGCAGCCAAGACTTGGATGAATAAAGGTCTACTAATGTCCTTCAGGGCAGGGTCGCTGTGAAAAAAAGACCCCTTTCTGGTCAAGACTGACTGTCTCTATTTTTTACACATTTCAGCAACTCCTTGATGTCTTCCCCTGCCCCATCATTCTAAAGAGCAGGGAGCCCTACAGACTTGAGTTCTAGACCCAGCTTCCAAGCTGGGTCACCTCTGGCAAGCCCCAGTGTCCCCACCTGGAATGGGCTGGGTCACCTGGGCAGCTCAGTCCATGCCCAAGCCCTCCTTGAAGCAGAGTTCAGCACACAATTGTTGAACCCCAAAACCTCCAACCGCCATGATAAGGGACACAGGTTTTACTGGATGTTGGTGGGGAGACTGAGGAGAGAGGCACTGCACAGCAGAGGCCAAAAATGTGGCCTCTGTCCCTGGCTGTCCCTGTTGGTCTTCCCTTTCTCTCTCCCCAACTCCCGGGTCCCTCTGATTTCTGGGGCTCCTCCCCTGCCCCAAAGTCACCTAACATATCATCTCTTGCCCCAAGTCATCCCAGCTTGCAGACCCCTCTCAGCCAAGCCACAGCCCAGCAGCTCGCTCTTAGCCATCTGTCATTCCTCAGGTCCTCCTACCACACGGGGACATCAAACACTTTACAGCCTTCAACACCCAGTGATGACAAACTAGCTTTCCTACAACATGTTGATCCACTTCCAATACTTGTCTGTGCCCAGGACAAAGGGAACATGTATTTATTAAAACCTGCCCTGTACATTCCCATCCATTCCGTCCTTTCTTCCTTGGGGCCACTTTGGGAGGTGGGAATTTGTATCTTCTTTTAATCATGAGGCAGCTAAGGCTCAGAGAGGTTCAGCCACTCCCTAGGGTCTAAGAGCTAACAAGCGGCACAGCCCTTCCTCTGGTTTAAGCTGCCTCTCTCTAAAAATGAGTCAGGCATGGAGAGATGGGCCATGCAGATGAAGACATAAACGAGAAGGCTTTTGAGGTGCAGATTTGAGAGTGGGGAGACCAAGCCGACTGACAGTTCCTGTTGGGGACAGAGAGGATGGCCTTTGTCTGTGTTTCCCCACCCCTGGCACGGTGCAGACACAGCGTAGGTGTCAGTGCGTGTTCGTGGAGTTTGGTGCGTGTCCTTGGGGCTGGAGCCAGGGAGGCCCAGGATTCAGCGCCCCCTGCTCTGCCTCCAACTTGCTGTGTGAACTGCAGCAAGTCGTGGGCCCCCTCTGGGGCTCAGTGTGGAATCCAGGGGTTGGATGAGATGACCTCATTATCCTGCAGCTCTGACATTTCAGGAGAATATAAAAGTGGCAAAGAAACTCGACGTGATATGGCTCTCAGCAGGCCCAGGTGGTGTGCGGGTCAGAAATTGAGTTTAAATGATGCATGCTGCACTTAAGATCAGAGTGAGTAGGAAAATTAGAAGCAGTGACTAGCAGTGCTGTGACGCTGGCTCCTGCAGCAAATGGAGTTCCTGCCCAGCTCCCCGGGGCTCACCACCTCTGTCCCAGGGCCGCGCTCAGGGGAATGGTGTGTATGGTGTCTAACCTCCTGTCTGCCTATGTCTTGTCCTCCCTCCTGACTGGACCTGGGAGCAGCTGGGTGGGGCCTGCCTGCTAGGCATCGGCATCTGGGTCATGGTGGACCCCACCGGCTTCCGGGAGATTGTGGCTGCCAACCCCCTGCTCATCACGGGTGCCTACATCCTCCTGGCCATGGGAGGCCTGCTTTTCCTGCTCGGCTTCCTGGGCTGCTGTGGGGCCGTCCGCGAGAACAAGTGTCTGCTGCTGTTTGTGAGTATGCCCATCCCGCATCCCACCCATGGGTGCCCTGGGGCAGGAGACTCACACTGAGGTCTGAGCCAAGCAAGCTGCCCCCCCTGGAGTGGGAAGGCCACCAACCTTTCCCATTTGCACTTGCAGCCCCAGCTTCCAGAGCCTGCTGTTGGCGCTGGGCCCATGCCTCTCCTGTGGGCAAGCTGCCCCCAGGTGGAGAGTGACCTTGGTCTCCAGGTCCGAACAGGCAAACGTCTCTAAGACATGGTCCATTGAGAACCTTGACCGTGATGTTTTTTTACTATTGCTTGTTTTTCAGAATTCAAATATATAATAACTCCTTGGTAAAAGAGCTGAGACAGCTCTTAGAGAAATCATTCACCTTGTGCGTTTCTAGTTCTAAAATAGAAATGATATGACCTCTGAAAGTCCTTTACTCATGAAATAAGTAGTCCTTGAACTGCTGCTATAAGCCACATAGCTCACTAGGTGCTGAAGGTGCATCGGGGGCCAAGAGTGGTCTTCCCCTCCCCCAGGAACAGGCACGGGATGGGGGTGATGAGCCCATGAGGATGGGCTGGGCAGCAGGCAGCCTGGATTTGAGTGTGCACCCTGCTCGGCCCCTAACTAACAATGTGACTCCTGTCTTCTTAACCTGTCTTTGCTTGTTAAGCGAGAAGCCAACCAGCTCAGCTGTCGGTAGGAGCCAAATGGAATAAACAGTAGAGGTTCCGTTTCTCTAGTCTGTTGCATTCCCATGAGTTGTGGTCCTTTGGGCCTCTGCTGATCTTCCTGGCCGTGGTGGACGGTCTTCTTCCCTGTGGGATCCTGTGGGTCCCCAGGGCTAGGAGAACTTGTGGGTTGATCCCAGTCCTGCTATGGGGTAAGTTAAAGCCCTTCTCTAAGCCCTGCTTAGAGAAGAGTGTGTTTGGATAGGTGGGGTGGGAGTTAAGCGATAGAAAGATCCGGGCTGGTCATCGGGAGGACTTCCTTGTAAGCAGACTGTCCGCTCCTGCCCATGAGCCAGCTCCCAGCAGGTTGGGAAGTAGTGATCTGGCATAAGGCCTCCTCCTCAGATTAGAACCCACTGTACAGCCTCCCTTTGTGTCCCCGTGAGATGCCCCACATCGCAGAGAGAAAGTGAAATCTGCTGTGAAACGTGTGACACAGAGCCTTGGGTCCCTTTGGCCTTCAGCAGCACAAACCCTGCAAACTTCTCATTTGGAGAGAAACAAAGAAACTTGTGGGTGCCCCCTGGTGGAAAGCTCTCTACAGTGTCAGATGGTGCAGAGGAACGTCTGGGCTTGGGTTGATAAAAGGAGAGGGGTATGGGTCCCAGGACACACCAAACCGCACCTTAGCCCCCAGGGCTCATTCATTGTTAATGGGCTCATCTCTGAAGCCAAGACAGGAAGCCAGGCCGGGGCTCTGGGCTGGGGAGGCATCAAGCTAAGTGGCTCCCTCTGAGCCTGCCAGCTGGAAGAGGACATCACTCTCCTCAGTACTTAGGAGAAGACCAAGGCCCAGGATGAGGTTTGCCCCAAGTCCCCTCAGAGCGAGTTAAGTCCTGGCCGTGGCCGGTCCAGCCCACTGAGCCTTAAAGCAACCCTTTCCCATCCCTATCTTTTGCTACCTTTTTTCGTCCTCCCTTTTGTATCTCTTCAGTCTCATCTCTGCTGCCTTTCCCTGTCCCTCTCCTGGATGCTTCTTGCCTCTGCCCTGTCTCCCTGCCTCCCTCCCCCTACCTCTCTCTCTCTCTCTCTCTCTCTCTCTCTCTCTCTCTCTCTCTCTCTTCCCCNTGCCCTGTCTCCCTGCCTCCCTCCCCCTACCTCTCTCTCTCTCTCTCTCTCTCTCTCTCTCTCTCTCTCTCTCTCACTTCCCCTATATTCTCGCCCCTCCCCTCACCTCTCCCCTCTCTGATGCCCAGCACAATCAAACTCAAGGTCACAGTACAGATCAAAGGCAGGGACACTTGGGTGCAGGTCTCCTGTCTCTCAGACCAGGGCTGGCCCAGGGCTCCTAACCTGGAATGAACTCAAGTGGCCCAAAATTCACCTCAAATGATGTGTAAAATATTATGTCAGGGCCTGCATGCGAGTGCATGTACATGCGTGTTGTGTATGTATATGTGTACATTGCATGCACACCCGTGTTTCTCGGGGGAGACAACACAGCTTCTGGAAGGTTTTCAAAAAGATTCATGACCTAAAAAAATGAAAAGCATCGCTTCCTTTTCCAACCTGGACCTGCCCGTGTGGTGGTGCCAGCTGAAGAGGGGCATTGAGTCTCACCCCTGAGATGCTGGTCCTTCGAGAAGCCTGAGACCACTTCCTCCGCCTGCTAAGAGGAAGGGAAGGCTTGTCTTGAGAGGGAGCAACTTAGGCTCCTCGGGAACCCTGGCTCAAAGACCTGCAGAGAAAGGAGGTCCGGGGGTAGGGGTTAATAGAGCACCCCCTCCTCCCTGCTCTGAGGCTAAAACCCACCGGGTCCCAGGGACCTTTAGCCCAGGGACAATACGCCTAATGACCACATCACCTAATGATCAATTTTTCTAAAGATATATTTTTCAGACACTCCTGTTGATCAATTTTACAGCATTTTCACATGCACTAGGATCATTTCACCCTGCTATTGACATTTCGTAGCACCCCTTTTTCCTGGTTGCTTACCTCTGAGTAGGTCAAGGAATTTTTTTGGCCCATTTGTTTGACTCAAAATTTTAAGATATTTTATAAAACAAAGGCATGCTGCATTGGAAGAGAGAACAGCAAAACAAGAGGAATATGTTTTAAAGAGATAAATGAGCTAAGTTGCACATGAAGTATGTAAATTTAGTAAATATTTATTAGAAATGAGAACTGAAAGCAGATGTGCCTGTAGAAAAGGGTTAGAAAAGTCTGGAAATGCTCACCAGAGTAGACCAAATAGCAGCTTCCACCCCTTTGTTAATTTCCCCGTCCTATGCAAAGTGTTGTAAATGTGATGCTCAGGCGTACAGGCAAATGTGTCTGTAGGCAGATGGAATGAGGTTAGATGAACCCAAGCAAACACACCCTGGGAAAGGCCCTGGTTAGGGGAAGCCCCAGGAAACAGCAGGACAAGCCCTGTGGCTGGGTCCAGGGGGCTCCCCTCCAAATAACCCGTGGTAACCCTGTTAAGCAGGAGGAAATCATTTCAGGCTGGAGAAGGCAAGTTGGCAAGAGTGGCATTGTTATGTGGGCACCACAGCCCAGCACTTTCCTTCAGGTGACTCACACTCACACGCACTCAACTCACCCCTCGGTCCCTGTGCCTGGTGAGACCCTGCTCCAGGCAGGAGTGATGCCAAGGAGGTCTGCAGACCCCCTTCCTGTGGGGCGGCCTGCTTTCCCTGTCAGTGAGTTACCAGGTTTATTCTTTAATTTCATCTCATGAACCTTTTGCATTTCATCTCATGAATGTCATTTCTTTTTTTTTTTTTAAGACTTTTATTGGGAAATCAGGGAAGGGGAACAGACAAGTTGCTGTCCTTTTGTTCTTCAGTCTAGATGTGGAGGATGTCGCTTCACTGGCCCATGTTGGTATTATCATGGCTCTTTTCCCAGATGAGGCAGTCACTTGCCTGCCATTGAATGGTGGCTCGTGGCAGCTCACAAAAGCTCACGTCCACTGCCGGCCAGCCCCATTGCAGCCTACGCCATCGCCGGTGACTCACGGCAGCCCAGCTCCAGGTTGAGCTGTTGTTCACCATCTTAGCTGTAGAGGGCGCAGCATCACTGGCTCACATGTGGGATCCGAACCGGGGCCCTGCTGCTCAAGCAGGCGTCCCAAGCCAACTCCTAACCAACACGCCACTCGGCCGGCCCTCATGAATGTCATTTCTTGAATTATGAATCTTGGCTCAACATAAACTCCATGAGGATGGGGACTGTATCTGCCTTGTGTGTATTTGTTTGCTAGTACCTAGCTTAGTGCCTGGCACAGAATAAATGCTCAATAAACAGCCCTGGAATGAAGAAACAGAGAGAAGGCGGTGTCAGAGGTGTATAACAGCATGGACTTTGGAGTCAGAAAAACCTGGCTCTAATCCCTGCTCTCCCACTTCCTGGCTGTGTGACCTAGGGCTGGTTATTTAACCTCTCTGAACCTCAGATTTCTCCTACATAAAATGAAGATGATAATACCTCCCTCCAAGACATAGTGTTGTGATCATGGTTCAGGGAGAAAATGTGCATGCATCTTGCCTTGCTCTGTTCCTGGCACATGTGAGCACTTAATCAATAGGAAACTAAAAGGACTGACATTGATCCACAAAGAGACCCTACAGGCATCTGAAAGCCTTAAGACCTGGAGGCACTTATCAGTTCCAAGATAACTTGGTGTTAAGAGGCCGTGTTCTGGAACCAGAGTTCCCGTGTTTATCCCTGCTGGGCCATGCTCCCCATCTCGGGGTCCCAATTTCCCCGTCAGTAAAATGGGGGTGTTGATGATAACAGCAGCTGCTTCTTCAGGCTGCCGAGAGGGTTTAGTGAAACGACCCACATGAGCCTCACAGTGCCTGGGTAGTAAGCGCTCAGTAGGTGGTAGATGTCATTATCTTTCCTGAGATCGCCCATGCCAGCACTTGTCTTCAGGAAGGCCACTCTTCCTCTTGGTTCAGAGCCACCATCTGAGCAGCTCTTGCATCGTGACGGCCTTGGGCTCAGCACTTCTCCGGCATCGTCTCACTGAGCTGTGCTCAGTCATCCTGGATAATGCACACATGCTCCCAGAGTGATGAGCATGCGGCGAGCACAAGGCTGGAGCTCGGTCTCATCCATAGTTTATAACTGTCTAAGCCACAATCGATAGCCAGAGCCAGCTGAGTCGCATCACCAAGGTTGGAGACCATTTCTGAGGCCACTCTTCATGAGCTTAAGGACTGTCAGCAACTCTACCGAGAGGGCACAGGGCAGGGAGGGGACCCCATGGAGATCGTGCGAAACAGAACCGGATGACCATCCATCACCAGCCAAATGCAAGTGCCAGGAGCCCTGCCAGGGGCCTCCATCACTGTCAGAGGATGAGAGGCCACAGAGGGGAACACATCGCTCAGCCCAAGGGAGGAGGGGTTGTGTGTGTGGGGGGGGGTGGAATGGACTGCAGCGTTGTGGCCAGGGGCACAGGAGGCCCTCTGTCACAGTACCCTCTGGATGGGAATCTGCCCACCTTGACCTCAATCCAAGGTCACCCTGCACAGCTGACCCCAGCCAGCAAGGCTGCCACTGACCTGTTGGAAGCAGAGTCACTGATAGGTCAGTTCTGAACCAGGCTCCTCAGCAGAGCAGTGGCATGGCACCCTGAAAGGAGCTGGATTCAGACGAAAGGGTTTGCTCTGAAATGTTGGAGCTGCCCACCTTTGGAGCAGTTGTTCCCTCCCCTGGCTTGTTTCCTCCACTGTGGAAATAGAGGGCTAACCAGAAAAGAGAAGAAATGGGCCCTAATGCTGAAGAAAGCCTCTTTGAGGCCAGAACCCGGGCTGGAGCCAGCTTGCACCTAGGGGACCCCCCGCGGCCGAAGATGACAATTTGGGATGTGAAGTGACAAATCTACGCTTTGTGCTGGCTGATCTGTTTAAGCCAAGGGTTCTCCATGAGTTTGAGCATTTAAAAAAGAAAATGAAACTGTTAGAAGATGTTTTAGGTCTGTGTCCTGGGCAGATCATCTTGAAATCCATCCTGAGGGTCTCCCCTAAAGTGGTCTGTAGCCCAAGAGGTTTGAAGGGACCTTGGGACCTCTTTGAGTCAGCCGCTGTTCAAGCTAAAAAGTCAGGGAGGGAACATGACCGGGGTTTTCCCAGGGTGGGGATAAAGTGACAGAAATCTTCTGGTAGGAAGAGACACCAATGAAGTCATCAGTGGCCCATTAGAGTGGCTGTGAGTGTGTCACTCACAGAGTGTGTCACTGGGGCCAGGCTCTGGGAGCTCATGGAAGGGCTTGCATGAGCTGGCTTCCACGCTCCTTCTCTACTTGTAAGAGCCCCAGTGACAAGCTTTGCTCAGCCTCTTTTATGACATACAGAACACTTCCACATCCATTCCTTCATCATTCCCCACCGTGACCCCAGAGTGGGTATCATCGTTGTCATTTCACTGACAAGGAAACTGAGGCTGGAAGGGGTTTGAGTGATTGTCCCAAGTCACACAAAGCGAGGCAAGGTGGGCTGAGGCGTCCTGACACTAAACCCAGGACCCTTTGCCTCCTCCTTCCAGCCAGGCACCTCCAGGGCAGCCTGGTGCTCTGTGACCCAAGGGAGCAGGTCTTGGGGCAGCTGGCTAAGGTGGCTTGGGGCGGTGTCTAAGAACCTGTCTCCGTGGGCACTGGGGACTTAGTCCTCTGCTGGTGGTCTCAAGTAGGGTGACAACTCTGGGATTGTCACAGACTGCACATGCCAAGGGCACCAGCAATGTTAAATAATGAAGGCACAGCCATGTCCTCTTTCTCCTGCCAACAGCTCTCATCCCAAAACAGTGACCATGATGACCAGGGCCTGACCTGTAGCAGACAGGGAGTGATGGCAAATGGGTCACACATGGATTCATTCATTCACCTGATAGCCATGAACGACGCTTGCGCTGTCCACTGGGAATAGCATGCTGAGTGACAGCCTGTGTGCTTACGTTAGGGATGCAGTGGCGACACAGCAGCTGGGAGGAAGGACCTCTCTGTGGGGCACTGTGATGTGGGAAAGTCAGGAAAAGCTTCTCACAAGGAGAACGGCTGGGGCTAACCATGACCTGGAAAATGAGGAGCTGGTGGGTGAGGAAGGAGGGGAGCCCCGAGATGAGCGGCATCATGGTTTATTTGGGGAAGCATCAAGAAATGCAGGGAGTGGAGGGGAAGGGGCTCTTAGATTCCAAATCCTGGCCCCAGGGTTGTCACGTTTTGAGAGACACACCACCTTCCCTCCAGTCTTGTTCCTTTACTGCAGCTGGAGATCACCATCACCTCCCCACTTCCCATGGGAATGAGAGGCAGCAGCTGAGAGAGGTGGCCCTGGGGCTGGCAGGGCAGGGGAGGCCAGCCAGGGGTCCGTAGGGAAGTCATGACTCCCACAGCTTGGACAATCCACCTGGAGGGGCCCAAACAGGTTTCAACATCCATCTCCTCCTAGGGTTGCCAGGTAGGGTTGTCCAGGTTGTTCACTGCACAAGGGGCCCCATGTAAGGGGTGCCATTTGCAAAGAAGACATATTTGTTTACTTTTTCCATATTTGTATTACAAGATTGTTGACTCCAGAGATGGATTTTGTGTTTATTACATAAAATGTCTGGCTTATTATGGGTAATGAAGTTCCTTAGCATTACAAAATCAATACATTGTGTCAATTGTGTAACAGATGAAAGGGTACTTCCGCAAGTGGTGTCCCCTTCCTGACCCCTCTCAAGACTCAACCCGGCTCTCCTCTCTTTGCAGTTCTTCCTGTTCATCCTGATCATCTTCTTGGCAGAGCTGTCGGCGGCCATCCTGGCCTTTATCTTCAGGGAAAATGTACGTACTGGGCCCCATGCACCCTGGCTCCTGCAACCAGAGAGGGGTCAGTGGCCATCATGGCCAGCCTGCCCTCTCCTCAGCGGGTCTCCCCGAGTCAGCAACCTCTCATCCAGCACTTCCAACCCAAATTGTGACCCACCACCCCAGCAAGGCCCCATGGCCCAGAGAAATCCCAGTGTGCTGCTTCTTGCAAGGGCACTTCCAAAAGGTCAGGATCAGGAGGCCCTTAAGGGTCTCTGCTCTTCCAAAGCATCTGGTGCAACCCCACACCTGATTCTGGACTCCTGGAGGCCACACCTTGTCCAGCGATGGCCCAGCAATAATCATTTCACAGTCTGAGGATAGTCAGGGAGGCTGTGTGTCCCCCACTTCCTCCGCCCTGGAATGTGCACTCTCAGATGAGGCCCTGACCAGAATTCAATTTGGGCCACTTGTCCCCACAGGCCATCTTATCCCAGGGCCTCCAACCACCCTGAGCGCCAGCTCCCTTCCCTGAGTCTATAAAAGCTAGGCACCAAAGGTGGTCTGGAAACAAAGGGGAGACGGGAGACGGGTAAGGGGGCAGGAGACACAGCTGGCCCTGGGGCCAGCAGGTAAGCTACGGGCACAGGAGGGAGCAGGAGGCAGGGAAGTGGCCTGGGAACAGAATGGTGCCCAGATGTCCCCTCTGGGGGTGACACCCAGGGGCCTACAGCAGGAAGTGGGGTAGCTAGACCTCGGGAGAATATTTTGAGGGTAGGAAACCGTGGATGTGCAGAGATTCCCTGCTCCTGGGCATCTGCTTGGCTCTGTCTGAGGAATAGCTCAGGGTGGAGAGGGGGCGTGAGGATAAGCACCCCACCCCGGGTAAGCCCTCCCTCTGCGAAGCTCTGCAGGACCCAGCCAGGTTCTCAGTGTGCCCCGGCCTCGGGGTTACTGAGGGGTGTATATAGGCTTCACATAGGTGATCCCACCATAGGGGAGGCCACAAGCCTTGGGGCAGGATTAAGGGACCAGCCCCAAGTTGGCAGCTTAGGGGAATGCCAGGAGCCTGGCACAAGGACCCTGAGGCCTTCCCTGCCCTCCCGTGAAGCAGAGAGATGGAGAAGCCAGGAAGGGGCGGGGGCGGCATCAAGCTGCCAGGTGTGAGTCTCAGCACCCCTCTCCCTCTGCCTCCAGCTCACCCGCGAATTCTTCACCAAGGAGCTCACCAAGCACTACCAGGGCAACAATGACACAGATGTCTTCTCTGCCACCTGGAACTCGGTCATGATCACAGTGAGTGACACCCACACCCACCCACACACACACACACACACACACACACACACACACACACCCATGCCATGAGCTTTCAGAGCCATGATTCCCCGTGCAGCAAAAATCTGGCCTCCAGAGCCCACTCTGCTCATGTGCCTGTGCCAGACATCAATCATTGACCAGGGCACTGGCACGATGAGCCCAGCCCTGGCCTCGGAATTGCATTCATACAGCAGTCCCGGAAGCCACTGCCAGTCAGACACAGCCCAAACTCAGGATGAAACCTGCTCGCCATCTCGGACTTGAATCCACAAGCAATTGTCATTGTCATTAATGAGAGTAATCAGAGCAACTGTTTATTGAGTACTGACAAACCACCCCCATTTTACAGATGAGAACGTTGAAGGCTCAGAGCAGCCGAGTAACTTTCCCAGAGTCGCACAGGCCGAGCAGGTGGAGCCAGCCCACACCTGGGTCTCGACTCCTCTCCACCTTTAAGAGGCTCTGTCTACCTGTGCCCCAACCCCTCCCCAGCTCCCACCCGCTAGAACCTTCCCTGTGCTCTGCTCCTAGTTTGGTTGCTGTGGGGTCAACGGGCCTGAAGACTTTAAGTTTGCATCAGTTTTTCGACTCCTGACTTTGGACAGTGATGAGGTGCCGGAGGCCTGCTGCCGAAGAGAACCCCAGACTCGGGACGGGGTCCTGCTGAGCAGGGAGGAATGTCTCCTGGGAAGGGACCTGTTCCTGAACAAGCAGGTACCAGGCCCTGCTCCTCCAGGCAGGGGGATACGGGTGGCCAGAGCTGAGCGGGTGGCGATGTCGGCCCAGAGCCCTGGAGGCATTCTGGAATCCCGTGGGAATGCTGGCCGTGATATGGGACTGAATGGGGCTGATGAAACTCCATCCAGGCCCCTGAGATCCAACCAAAGTGGGGCAAAGGTAAGGGTGGCAGGAAGTCCAGCAATGGCATAGGCCAGAGAAGTGGGCATTTTGGCTGGGGTTAAAGGGTGAGTAGGAGTTTTCCAGCGTTCCAAGCAGAACACTCCTTGAGCTTCTGATAATGCAGGTTGAGAGCCAGAACCAGGATTACACAGTGAGGGCCCCTCCTCAGTCATGCATTCTACTTTGGGGGAAGCTCGCATTTGCCATGTAGGGGCACCTCCTGGCCCCAAAGGGAGCAAGGTGTCCCTGACCTTACTCTCCAAGGTCAGGGAAGCTCCTAGACTTCTTTGCTTCTCCTACAACCCAAGGACTTCATCTAAGTCTCGGGAAAAACCCTTTCCCCTCCTGCATGTGCCACCTCTGGGGAGACACAAGGGCCCCCACTGACCAGCTCCCCACCCCTCAAGTGGGTGTGAGACCAGGCTAGGTGGGGAGAAAGGGGAAAACGAGGGTGGACTGAGCCTGAACCTCACTTGATTAGGCCTTTAATGAGGATCTCATGGGGAAGTTCCAGGTGCAGGGAACCTCTCAGGGGACAGGGGACAAGGCCCCTGTGCCTGTGGGGCTCACAGTCTAGTTAGAAGAAGCAGATGATAAACAAGCCGCAAACAAACAAAAAGCGAGCATTTCATGTGGCAACAATTACTACGAAGGAAGTAAAACCAGATGACAGGCGAGGAGGGACCAGGGTTGGGGGCTCAAGGCAGGCCTCTTAGAGTCCAGGGAAGGGGACAGTTGAGTGAGTCCTGATCCCGGCCATCTGGTGAGGCTCTTTGTAGCCTCAGCTTTGCCCCATGAACTCAGCACCCCCGTCCCTTGTACCTGCCCACATCACGGCAAAGAGCTCATGAGGTCCCAAGAGCCATGATCCTCTGCCCCTCACGGCCCTGCCCTCCTGCACTGGGGGAAAGAGACAAAGAAACGAGGGTCCTGGCATCAGGCCACCCTGGGGGTGGGGGGGTCTCTGATGTGAGGAGAGGCTGCAGGACATGGGGGGAGTTTCAGGCTGTGGTGTCAGCCTGGTCTGGGCTGGTAGCCATTGTGTCACCTTGGCCAGGCCACAACTCTTTGGACCTCAGATCCCTTGCACGGTGATAGAGATTGCTGGCTGCCCCCATGCTCCATTCAGCCCTTCCTCCTTGGGAAAAGGGGCTTTATAGGACCCCCTGACCACCAGGTAAAGGCGGTCCCTTCCGTCCTCCCTTGCAGCTAGGCCGTATGACCAAGTTCTAGCCAAAGGGAGGTGAGTAGAGGCGATGTGTGCAACTGAGTCACATCCTTAAGAGAAAGCATTGTGCCCGCCCCTCCTCCTGTCCCCCTGGCTGGGATGCAGCTGTGGTGACAGCCATTTCGGGCCTTGCAGAGGAGGGTGGCCCCTAGGATGTCAGAACAACAAGAGAGGAAGAGCCTGGACTGCTGACAACTCCATGGAGCAGAGCGGCCACCATGGCTCAGGATTTGACATGAAAGACAAATGAACTTCTAACTTGTTTAAGGAGCTGCTGCTAGGAATGCCTGGTGCCCAGAGCCCAGCCTGTATCCTAAGGTCACTTGTGAGTTGTTCCAGCAGGCTGTTCATGGGCCCTGGACCTTTAGGGCTTCCCTTGACACGCTTCCCGTTTCTGATCCATCCTCTGTGGTGATGCCTCTTTGCGCCTCCTGGGTGTAGCTTTTCCAATGGCACTTACCAGAGAGGTCCCTAAGCAGCGACACTAGTTATTCACACTGACTGTTCCGCGGCTCCCCGTGAGTGTTACTGAGATTGGCTCCTGGGACTCCTTTTCTGAGACACTCACATCCCTCCTGAGCATTCTTCCCTTTAAAAGCTTCTGCCGAGGAAGTATGTTTGTGTTTTTCTCCAAAGCCCACTTCCCTAAAGCTCAGGATGCATTTCTCACTTGGCCTGACATCCCATCATAGTCTTGTCAGTGAGCAACACATTTGACTGGAAGTAACTGAAATCCCAACTAAAGGGGCTTATGCAGACACCTTTGTGTTTCACATACACATGGCAAGAATTCTGGAAGATGCTGGGTTCTCACATTGTATCAGCGGCTCCATCATGTTGTTCAAGGCCTGGTCTCTGATCTTTGTGGGCTTTTCTTGTGCTTACCATTTCATGGTGGCAAAACGGCTGCCATGACTCCAGACATCCCACCCATGTTCCAGGCAGGAAGAAGTGGAAAGGGTGGCACCAGCCTCTTTCCCATAAATGCTCAGCAGGCTTCTGCTTAGGTCTTGCTGGCTTGGACTTGGTCACATGGCCATCAGGAGCCAAAGCAGAGGACACTTGTCTATGGGTGTTGAGTTAGTCCACCAGCCCTGTTTACCATTGAGCTTCAATGAAGAAAAATTAGGAAATCCTCCCCCCAAAAAAGGCAATCTATGATGAATACTTGGACTACGACATTGATATAACTTGAACCTATGTGGCAGCTTGTCCATTTCATTTCTCAGCCTTCCCTGGGTCAGGACAGTCATCCAGGCAAGTCAGGAATGTGTTTTTCTGCTGGAAACAAATCAGGGGGTTCTCCCAGCAGATGGTGATCTTGACTCCAGGACAATATGGTGACCACTCATAGAAACCCATCCATATTCACCATTTGTCTGGGGAATCTTAAGCCTTCTTTCCCCACAGCACCGCTGTTTCTCTGCCTTATCTTCACTGCTCCCCATCTGCTTCCTGGTAGGTTATGAGTGGGGGTATTGCTCTGACTCTCCTTGAAACAAAGTACTACACCCCTATCCTCCTGGCAAGGGAAAAGCAATCCAGCCAGAGAGCGAGAACAGTATGTGCAAAGGCCCTGGGGTGAGAGGAAGCATGGTGTGTTTTAGGAGCCAAGAGGGGGCCAGTAGGGCTGGAGCACAGTGAATAGGGCAAGACCAGCTCAAGGGCCAGTGGGCCCATGATGAGGACGCTGGAAAAGCAGTGGAAGCCCATGCGTGCCACGTTCTACATGGAGAGTAGTGGTGGGGGAGGGCGGCTGGCCATGTTAGTGCTCTGGCTGCTCAGTGGCCAGGGATTAGAGGTGGGCCTGAGTGGACAGGAGGGATTTTTACACTGGTCCCAATAAGAAATATGATGGGTTAGACCAAGGTGATGGCAGTAGAAAGGCAAAGAGGTGTATGGATCTGAGAAATCACTCAGGAGACAAAATCTACCATCTCTGGTAGTAGGTTGACTTTGGAGAAGGGATGATGAAGAGGTGTTGAGGGTGACTCCATAGGTTCTGGTTTGGAGGAAGGTCTCAAATCTGGTTTGGAGCATGTTACATGTGAGGACTTTGGGACATCCCAGCAGAGGTTCCCAGCGGACCATCGGGCATATGGGGCTGGAGGTCGGGGAAAGGTCTTTGTGGTGGCACCCCTGGCCTAGCTGCCCTTTGTCAAATTAAGTTGAGAGGGTAACTATTTAGGAGCCTGGGAGCCGGGGCAGGGGTGTGGGGGACGTTCCCTTACTGCAGAAAGCAAGAACAGGCGCTGGCGAAGGCAGCATGGTTAGGGAACCAGCAGTCTGTGGTGAGGCTGGGAGAGACGGCAGTGAGTGTCCACTGGGCAGGGTGGGTGGTAAGGGTGGGTAGTCATCAGGAGCGGGAGGAAGTGATCTCTACGGGTGCAGACGGGCTCCAGGCCCTAAGCCGGGGACCTGGCCTGGATGAGCGAGAACCAAGCCTTCCTGCGGCCTGGTGCCCTTCCCCTCAGAACAGAGGGAAGAGCATGATCTTCTGGCAATGAGACTCCAGCTTCCCTTCCTCCCTGTGCGTGACGTGACCTTCATCACGTCCGGCTGTTCCTGCCCTCCTTTCCTCACATACGGGGGGAGCAGAGCCCTCTTCCCCAAGAGCGGAATGAGAACAGGCCCACACGGCCCAGCAAAGTTCCTGACAGGGCGGACACGCGCCAAATGTTGGTGGCACCGTCCCGCCCATTCCCCAGGCTCTCCCTGCCCCCTCCAAGCATGTCTCAGTATCTGGGGCCCCCATTGGCCAGTCGGGTCTGCTTGGTTCAGACCAGGGATGCAGAGAGTCTTTGGTGCCAGAGCCAGATGGAGGGGAGATGAGCAGTGAAGGCCTCAGGTACCCCGCCTTCAGCACAGGGATGTCTTCCTTCTGCAGGTCAAGGTCCCTCCCCAGGTGAGGCATGTCAAAGTCAACTTCATGCTCAGGAAAGGATTTACCCTTTCTCCTGCCCGCTTATGTATAAGGATGTGTGTGGAGAGAGAACTGTCTTACAGTGACACCTGGAGACATAGGGGGGTAACCCCACACACACAACTTTGTGCTCAGACACTTTCCACCAACCAGGATGTGCCCGGAGGGGCACAGAGACAGGGAGGATGGTCCTGCAGGCATTGGAGCCTTGCTCCATGCCAGCACTGCTGCCTGAGCTTTGGGGCCACATGCCAGTTCCCCGGCTTCACATGCCGATCCTGACACTCGTCTGTTTCCCCCGACAATCCCTCTGGCTGTGGCTTCACCTCTGGTTCTTCTCCTGCAGGGCTGTTACACAGTCATCCTCAACGCCTTCGAAACCTACGTCTACCTGGCCGGAGCCCTCGCCATAGGAGTACTGGCCATCGAGGTAAGTGAAGGCCACCTATCCGACGCAGGAAAAACATGGGCTTGTAGAGTCCAGCTCCCCAGCCCGTGCGGGAGGCAAAACCCTGCTCCCAGACAGGGACCTTTACCAGGGTCCCCACCCAGCCTTTCCTCCCCACCCCTGTCCCTCCTGATTTGGCCCTGAGCCTGTGGTCTGGGGACTGTTCCCTTGTGCTACTTGCTAGAAGAGCTGTGGCTGTGGGGGCATCAGTAACTCTGGTCAGAGGGGCATCCCTGAGTGGGTCTCCGCCTGCCCCACCTCCGCAGGGCCCTTAGACAGGGGTTGTGCTCCTGCTCTGGGAAGGGCTGCATCTTTTTTGCCTGTTAATAACCATCCTGGTGGCTTTTTACCAGGTATCGACTACATAACAGGCACCATTACGTTACTAGATGATCACCTTATACTTCAATCTCACCACCTCCCTTTGAACTAGAAGTGGGAGAGCACAGGTTATGGCTGTGGGCTCTGGGGTCCGGATGCCTGGACTCAAACGCTGGCTCCCCTGCTTGTAGCTGTGTGACCTTAGGCAGATTGCATGACCTCTCATTTCCTGGTCTGTGAAAAGTTTCTGAGAAAGCACTTCATGCCTGGCACATGGTGATGTCTGGAGACATACTCAGGCCCACGGAAGGGAAGTGTTTGGCCCAAGGTCATCGCTGGCAAGTAGGGAGCTGGATTTGAACTCGTGTCTCTTGGTTTCCAAAACCCCCTTCTCTCCCTGACTACATGGCATGAAGGGGCCCAGTGGCTGGTGAGAAGGGCTTGCCACCAGGGGAGTGTCGGGAATCCTTACAGCAGAGGTGTGCTGTGATGCGCGAGCCCCCTTCGTGCTGCGTGGCCAACAATGACCCCTTCCCCTCAGGGTGGGTGGCCCCGTGGAGGACAGGGGTGGGGTCGCCTAACAAACCAACTCTTTTCTGTACAGCTTTTCGCCATGATCTTCGCCATGTGCCTCTTCCGGGGCATCCAGTAAAGGGTGTGACCTGAAGCCTGAAGACTCGCCCCACCCACCACTGCCCAGCACTCAACGCCCTCCCCTCCCCCACACCCTTGCCCCCTCGGCCCTGGGGGGTGGGGGTGGGGAGGTGAGGCCATCATGAGTGTCTAGGAGAAAGGGACAGGGGGAAATAGCTATTTTTTTAACAAAACAAAATGACAAAAATATGGACTGATGTACCCCGCCTGGATTCCGGGGTGGGAGCCATGGGCTCTCCACAGGTGCCCCAGCACCTGCACCCAGGATGCAGTCTGCACTGGAGACCAAAGGAACACCAGTCCTAGGTCCCCTCCTCAGCTCAGCCAGACTCTGGCAGCCCTCAGTGCTTCAGGGCCAGGTGCCAAGAAAGTGAGAATTTAGGCAACAAGAAGGCAAAAGCAAATCTTGGAGAGAAGTCACCAAAGCCCAGGGAACCCAAGGAGACTTGGTCAACACCTCCTGTCCTTGAGGATTGGCACCTTCACGCAATCTGTGGTTGGAGTTACCCCAGCTCCGGCTGGGGCCAAGAGTGGGCTGTGGACACTGGATCCAAGAACAGCCCGGCTGGTGGGGTCCTTGCTTTCCCCAGCTGTTGGACCAAATCTGGAAGGCGCAGATTCTCCTCCACAGTCATACAGCATATGCATGACAGTTCTGAGCAAGAACTGGGTCATCTCCAAGCTGCCTGTCCCTCCCCCCAGGGCGCTGTCAGTCCAGCAGATCTGCTGCTCACAACCCTCCCTGGCTTCAACATTGCGGTTTCCCCAGAAGAGACGGAGCAGGGTGGCCAAGAACTGCGTCTTCCCAGCTCCACAGCTAAGACTCTGTAGCCCCTGCCCTCCCTCTCACCTCCCCACACTTGTAAGCCCCCAGAAACACACACATGCACACACACGAGTCCCTTTTCCTTACTTCCCACCTCTCCCCACAAGCCATGGCTTTCCCTGTTCTCCACCTGGCTCCCAGGGCTGGAAGGAGCCCGCAAGATCATCGGTTCTTCTCTCCCCACCCAGAACTGTGGATTGGATATTTTCTGTAACATCCCTAACAAGGTATCTCCATCCTCTTCGTGAACACCTCCAAGGATGGGGAGTTGACTACCTCCCAAGACAGCCTTCTGCCTTTGGACTGCTCTGTTGCATCAGCTCAACACGCAGAAGATTTTTCTGTGTTCCGTCCATGGCATCGCACTTGCTCTGCCTCCTCCCCTAAGTGTTAAGGCCACATGTTATCTCACCCTGAGCCCTGTGATGTCCAGGCTGAAGAACTCCAGGGCATCTCATCATTTCGGCTGTGACATGGTTTCCTGTCCCTTCCCTGTCCACAGCACGTTTCTGAGTGCTCCCTCCAGGTTTGGGCAGGGAGAGGTTTCCCCACAAACTCACGGACACCCACTACAGCACCCACAAATCAGCCCCTCATACACAGACCTCAAGTTCTAGACCAGTGTCGGCAGCTGGACTGCAAGATGCTTCAACCCCAATCAGTCAAGAGTGGCTGCTGGAGGCTGTGCCAAGGATCCGAGGTTTGGTCTGGGCTCAGTGGGAGGGCAGTGTAATCTCTATTAGTAATGTCTGCCAGATACCTTCAGCTTGATTAGTGATGTCTGCCACAGGCACAGGCATGGGAGGATCAGCAGGATACCTGCCCTCCTTTCTTTCTCCACTGTCTCGTCAGGGTCTGGGACAAGCCCATTCTGTCTCACAGAGCCTATGCCAGCTTCCAGCCTCCCCTCCTGCCTTCTAGCCACCGGGAGAGACAAAGCTGCAGCCCAGTGCTCCCTGGTGTACCCCCTGCTCCCTTCTGAGATGCAGTCAGGGCTCTGCACCTGCTATGAAGATTTGGTTAGACCCTCTTCCAATGTCTCCCTTTCCTCCTCCCACTCTCCTGCTGTCCCCACCTGTCCTGGCCCTCCCTCCAGGGCTCTAAACTGAGTCTTTCCAAATTGTCCCGTCAACAGCCTGCCCCGGCAATTTCATGATGCCATGAGCTCCCTAGTGACTGGGCATTCCTGGGATCCAGGGGGCCCCACAGCTTGCACCCCAGCCCAGCATGAGAAGGGCACGGGGCCTGCCCCTCTAGACCCGCCCACACACTTACCGCCAGCTTCCTAGAAGAGGCAAATGGATGGTCTGAGAGAGACCAAACAACCCAGGCTGGTTAGACATGACTTAAGGTCAAATTGGGCAGCTGTGTGGCTCCAGTCCAGGGGCAACCCCAGCTTCTGGGCCCCATCTAGTCTCCTGCTCACTGCCCAGGAGAATCTTGGGCCTTGACAGTAAGAAGAGTCTGGCATCTGGCACCACCCCTCCTGGGCCCCACAGGAGTTCAGAGGCCACGGAGGACCACCTGGCTGAGGGGAGCTCATGGGTGGATGTGAGACTGGGGCTTTCCAGAAAGGTGTCAAGGCGCCCTGAGTCTGCCGCTGCTGACCTCCAACCCCAGCCACTGACCACGTTCTCAGGCTGCACAGGGAAAGCAGCTGGAGCGCTAGCCCAGGCTGGTAGCTATTTGCAGGGTTGCCTATGGCCATTCAAGGCGTGTGGGAAAAGAAAGCTCCCCCCCCCCCCAATCTAAGGAGCCTCTCTCTCAGGCTCCAGGGATGGCTGGGCTGGGACAGATACAGCCCATAACAGGTGCTGGTGGCAGTTGTTGGTTGCTGGGGGTAGGAGGCAGCTAGGAATGCCTCTTGAGAGATTTCATCTGACCCCAATCACAGGGCAAGGGCCAGGGAAGACCTTACATGTTAGTCACACACCGTTCCTTCCTGCTCCAAAAACTACTGCCTCTGGGAGAAGGAAATAGGTCTCAGGGGCGGGGCCCCTCTCAGCCTCCCTGGTCCCTCTCTCCTATCTATGCCTAAGGGGCCCAGACAGGATCCCTCAAACTAGCCGAGGCCCCAGCACCCCATCTTCCCAAAAGCCCCCTCTTCCCTTCCCCCTTGGGCCCTATGTCGAAAGTCTATTTTGAAAAAAAATGTAAATGTTCCTTGCAGTAGATAGCAGAGCTAATTTATCATGTTTATTTCCTGTGAGCCCCCCTTTTTATATTATATATCAAGAGTTTTTGTAATATAAAACAGGACACCCACACTGATGGTTTTGCACTGGTTTTTGTGACCATTTCTTACAAAAAGAAAAAGGAACGAAGAATAAATAGTGACCGTGAAGAAAGTTGGTCTTGATTTGGGGGGGGGCTGGGGCCGGGGCAGGAGCTTGGGAAGAGGATGCCAAGTTCTAGTGGCGACGGGGGGCGGGGAAGGGGCAACCTGGGTCTTCCCAAACCTTTAGGATGGGGGCTGGGCCCACACGGAGCCTTCCTCACTGGATGTGTGCGTTCCTTCGGCCCTCTCCGCTTTGTCACTGCCTCCTCCCCAACCAGGACTCCTCCTTTCCTTACTATCCTCCCTACTTCCTCCCTCCCACGCCTCAGGGCAATGTTGACCCAAACAGCCCAGAATTTCAAGAACACTGAGCCTGGACAGCGCCATCCCAGCGGGCCCTCACTAGACCCCACGGAACAAGGCTGAGAGGAAGCCCGGCCAGCTTAGCCCCCGCAGGTGCCCAGCACGGCCCAACTCCAGACCTCATGCCTCCGCTTCCCTGCCTGCCTCCAGAGGGATCTACCAGCCATGCCCAGCGGATGCTAGGCCAAACTACCCATCACCTGTTATAGGACTAGCCAGACCTTAACAGGTATGCATCTGATGGAGGAAGTGGCCTTAGCCTGCAGAACTGCCCGCCAGCCACCAAGACTTCCTCCCAAAGGCAGAGGTGGGCTCCCGACCTGCCCAGGGCTCTCCCTGAGGACAGGAACAAACTCCAGTGGCAAGAGACAGATGCCAGGAAAGAGCAGGCTCTTCCTTGGTGTCCAGGTTCCTTCCCGTTCAGCCCCGGTTACCAGCAGCACAGCCTTAGGCACCCGACCCGCTGGGCCTCTCCTCAGCTGTGTACCAGTGGTGGTGCCACCATGCTGCTGGCACTAGACATGTGGCTGCAGTGACAGCTGAGCACAGGAGAGGGCAGTGGGAGGCCCAGAGTGGGCAGGGTAAGGTTCCCAGACACAGGCCCACGTGGCAGTAGCCAGAGCTGGGCTGCACCTCCAGACTATCTCACCCCTTAAAACACTCGTATTCCAAGACAGGAAGCAAGACTGGGACCTAGGCTGCTTCTCTCCACACCTGACCCCAGAACAGGGGCTGACATCCCTGGTGTGCAGACTGGTGTCCTGGAGGGAAAGACAGTATTAGGAGGAAGGACTAATGGGGGACCCGCAAGCTTGTGGGCCTGCACGGGGTCTCCAGCTCTGAGGGTGCCAGCTGTCGGCCTTCTCCAGGGCATCGGGGTGGAGGTAATGAAAGGAGGTAGCCTGCTGAAATATTCCGTTTCCCCTGCTGAGTTTGAAGGGTACCCAGTCCTACCCCATCAGGGCTTGGGGGGCAGCCAGGCTAGAGGTCCAGAGGGCAACACCCTGGGGAGTAGGGGAGGGTGGTGAGGGGGCTAAGCCAGGTGAACGTCAGACCCTGCAGAACATGCCACGGGACAAGGAAAGGCCGCTGCTTCTTTCATCATCCCCAAACCCCATCACTTCTAGTAGCCTCCAAGGTTATCTGTGCGTCCATCTGTCAGGGCCAGCCTGTGGGTGAGGCCGCTGGCAGTCTCTGGACCCAGGCCAATTGGGGGAAGAGGGTTCCTAGAGGCCTGCAGGAGTTGGGATGGAGGCAGCACAGCCTTGAGTGAGACCCCCAAGAGAGCCATGGTGGCCAGAACAGGGCTCTGCTACCTCACAGGAAGCCTGAAAGGGAAGTGAGAGCTCAAGACAGCCACCGCTGCCTGTCAGCTGCTGCTAGGTTGTGCAGAGGGAAGGTGTGTCTGTTTGGGGGTGGAGGGGACCCCCACCCGTAGGGAGAGCCCACCACAAGGAGTGGGAGCATAGGGTCAAGTCCTCGGGTTTTCCAGGCATAGACAGATGCCACGTTCAGCTGCTTGGGAACTAAATTGGCCGGGGGTGTAAGAGAAGGACAAGGAGGCAGCCCACAGCCTCTCTCAGAAGAAGTCTCCCAGCCGAAAGGGCAGCAGCCCCACCTCCGCCCCATACCCCGTGATGCAGGCTCTTCAGGCAGTGTCTGTCCAGGGGGTCCAGGGGCCAAGAGGCCCAAGAAAAGGAGGTGTCACTATGTGGGGCAAAGAACAGGGGTGCAGAGGCCCCGTCCCTCTCCAAACCTGAAAGCTCAGAAGATCACAGCATTTGGGGAGTGCCCAGGAGGAAAGGAAGGTGGCCACCCCTGTCTGCCTGGGGCAGGGCAGGGTCCTTCCTGTTTTCCATGAACCAGAGAGAAACTGAGGCCCAGGGCCGCCCTGCCCCCAGAGGGGCCCCCGGCCCCGCGGGCAGCTAAATTTTCTTGGGTTTTCGGCCGACTTGGTAATAGTAGTAAACGCTGATGGCGACAAAAAGGAGACGGCTAGCCAGGAGCAGTACGATCCCCAAGGTCATGAGGCCCGTCTCGGCTAGCGTGGCAGTGACCACTGTGGAAGAAAAGGCCAGGAGGGGACAGAGGTCAGCAGAGGCATGTGCCCTCACCCCCACCACAGGATGGCTTGCTGATCCGGGAGCCCTGGGGTGACCGCCTCGCTGGCTCTGCCCTGAGCTGGGGGTCCTGACAGCTGTCTGACCCCACAGACATATCTGTTCTGATGTCTCCCACATGACAAGGACTGGGGCATGTGGACAAAACCAGTGCGCGCTGTCACACCTCTGCTGGGGTGTGCGAGGCTGCAGACGCACGTGGGGGGTAGGCTGTGGAAATGCACAGGTGTGTATTCAGGAAGATACAGGTACGTGTTAAGTGTGTGAGCACAGGTGTGCAGACACACAGGTAAACACAGCCGCCTGAGTCCCTCCCCCTCAGACAGGTTCCATCACTTCCTGGAAACCCAAGTGGCAAGAGCTGGAAGATGGGGGCAAAGCTGCCCTGCCTGCAACCCGCCTTCAGCCTCCCTTCCTCAGTGCCCACCTTAGGACTCACCCAAGAACTGGACCGCGAAGTAGCAGGCTTCCGTGAGCAGCGTCCATCGAATGATAACCTTCTCAGCCGTGTAGAGAGCATTCCACATGATCAGGGAGATGCCTGGGTGGGGACAAAGAATGGGACAGCCTGACCCACCCACCCCCTCGGGGCAGGGGCAAGGGGCCTGTTCCCCCTCCCTTTGGCCCTACACAGCAAGGGAGCCAGGTTCCTGGACTTCCACATCTCCTGCCCCCATGCACGCTCCTCAAGTTAAAACGCGTCCATCTGTCCCGTCTTGTCCCCTCCAGGTTCATCTCGGCAGCTTTGGCCATAAGCTCATGCCTGTTCATGTAATTTACCACTCACCATGGGACACTGGGCAAGTCAGGTCCCCTCGCTGGGGCTTAGTCTTTTCGTCTATAAAATGGGAAAACTGAGCTCTAGGTATCCTGCCCCCGTCGGGTTCAGTTATGATTCTGGGTTTGATGGGAGTCGATGAGTTAATGAGCTACTGGGTCCTACAATCACATTTTCTTTCCACAATGGACTCCTTGGAGACAGGAAACCTGAGCCCATTAAGGAAATCACTCCAAGGAATTCCCCAGGGGGGAGACAGGTAGACCATATTTTCAGTGGAAGAACCACTTACTTAGCCTCTCCCAGGCCCAGTGTCTGCTGGCTCCGAACACCAGATACATGCTCATTTGATTTCAACAAGCCCAACCCCATAACTCCAGCTCTCCTGCTGTGTGGGTGAATTGCTTGAAGCCATCCCAATCTCTACCACCAGAGGTATTAGAGCTGGCCCTTGACGGGTGAGTAGAAGCGCAATTGGCACAAGAAGGCACAGAGGCCTTCTGAAACTGGGGGTGCGGCTTCATGAAGTGTGGCTGGATGTGGGGGAGGTAGGTTTGGGAAGGCAGGCTGGATACACCCCACAGGTGACCCTAAATGCTGGTGGAGGAGCCGGGGCTTTATTCTGCAGGCAGCAGAGAACCACAGAGCGTTTTGGAGGAGAGGAACGCCATCTGTGCTAGGCTTCTAAAGCTGTAATTCAGCTTCCTAACGAGCAGTGTGTGTGACTGAGATTGGAGAGGAAACAGAAGTGGTTCAAATAGGATGCCCAAGGGCACGAGGGGTTTTGCAGACACCATGTTGATTTTGCCTCCTCCTCTAAGCTGTGAGGCCCTGGAGGGCGGGGCCTGGTTCTCATTCATCTCTGCATCCCAATGCCGAGGCGGTGCACTACACCAGCAAGCGCTCAGGAAGTGCGTATTCCAGATGATGGCCAAGACAGAGCCCCGGTCCGCTGGGTGCATTCTACCAGTGGCCACAAGATGGCAGCATACACCCAGCAGAGACAGACACCCACTGAAGGGAGAGGTCCCGGAAGAGGCGTCCCTGCACAAAGAAAGGCTCCCCATGCTCCCCTCAGCCCCAGTTGGTCCCCTAGCTGACCATCACCTCCCCCAGAGTCTGCCCCAGCAATACTCACTGAGGATGGCACCACCATACAGGCGGATAGGGGTCTTGCTGGTCACCTGGGCTCCATCAAAGACCGCGTCATAGAGCTGGTCAGGGAAGGCAAGGGCCTGTGGACAGCGGGGGGAAGTCTCAGGGTGGGGGGGGATTTGCTGTTGAAACGTCCCCGGGACATCTTCCCCCAGGAGCAGGGGCAGCGTCCCTGGGGCAGTCCAGGGTCAGGGACTTGATCGCCCCCACCCCCACCCCTCCATGCCAGGACAGAAGGTGCTAGGGTTTCCCGGGGCAAGGAGGCAGAACTATGGACATGGGATCTAGGGTGCTCCAGGACAGGCAGGCGCAGGTGCGGTGAGTGTAAGGAGCCAGGACATGGAGGCAGCCAGAGAGCCTCGACGGATGGGACCTCAGCATGACGGCCATGTGGGAAGAGGCAGGGGAGGAGCCCCCATAGGGGCCCAGGGTTCCCCAAGGGTGGAGTGGGAGCTCACCATGATGGCAATGCCAGAGAAGAGCACAGCAGAAACAAACTGCCAGACCCTGGGGAGGCATCAAGGGGAACGTCAGCCAAGTCCCTTGCTGCCACCCCCAGACCCCGAGGGACCCTCCCCTCTCCAGCCAAGACGCCCAGGGATGGCTGGTTTGGGGGCAGGGAGTGACATGGGATGGGATCAAGAGCAAGACCACAGGGACAAGGCTGATGAGGCGGGGTCTTACACAGCCCCTCCCCGTAACCCTGCCCCCAACCAGCACTCACATAAATGCTCACCTCAGCCCCAGAGGCTCCCGAACGGCAAACTTGATTTCGTTGCCCAAGACCTGGCTGATCTGTGGACACAGAGGGGTCAAAGGCACCCAGGGTGAGGCAGTGCTCCACGTGCCCAGCCCATGCACCAGCCCCAAAGTCCCCTGGCATGCCCAGGGCTCCACCTGGAAACCTCCGCGTAGCCAAAGGTCCACCCAGGCTAGGAGGGCCACACAGAGGCCGCCCCCTCACTACCTCCCTGACAGCTATGGGAAGCTGAAAATAAGGTGGCTGAGAATGAAAGCTCAGGGCTCTGCTAGCCGTGGATTTGAAGCCTGGCTTTGCCACTTACTGGTGTGGCCTCAGGCAAGTCACCTAAGCTCTCAGAGCCTCGTCTATAAAATGGGTGAATAACTTTATCTGCACCTCCCAGGTCTAGCAAGGTTAAATAATGCTTATAAAGCAGCTGGTGCAATTCACAGGCACATAATAAGCATGCAATTAATTGTAATAATCTGTTTTCACTTTTGTTATTATTTCCCTAACATCTCCATTAAGCATCTAGAAAAAGGAGCTAAGTCCTGGGGCTCCTGCATGGGCCTCAGCGCCTCTCTCCCCAAATGGGGGGGGGGGCAACCTGCCTCCCCAAACTGGTGCTCAGGGATGGACCCCGGGTGTGGCCAGCTACGGGACCCTCTTCTGAGGCCCACCTTGGAGCGGTGCACCTCCCCGTCGTCGTCCTCGCCGCCCACACCCAGGATCTTGCGGGTCTTCAGGCGGCTCACGAGGTCCGTCTGACTGTGCTTTTTCATGAGAGGTGGGGGCTGCTTGGCCGCCATCTTGTCCTGGCACCCGGCCTCCGCAGAAGGGCTGCAGAGAGACACCGGCCTCAGGCCATGCATCCTGCCCGGCTTCCAGACCTCAGAGGGTAGCCAGACCCCAGCCCAGGACCTGCTGAGGCCTCCCCCGAAGCCTTGGGGGGATCACAGGACAAGAAATCTGAGGCCCCAGGCTCAGTACCCAGCTCCCTACCCACCCGTCGTGACGAAACAAGGGAAGTCACTGCCCTTTTCTGGTCTCAGCTTCCTCATCTGGATAAGCATTTGGAGTGAGACCACACCCAAAGGTTCCTGGGGGGTGGGGGTAAACAAGGGCTTGGGGTCACTCAGACAAACAAGGTTTAGAAGAAGGAAGAATGTGCCCAGGCCTGGGGCAGGGGTTCCTGAGTCCTGGGGTCCAGGCTCCCCATTGAACGTTTGCCCAGGTAATTCCTGCTGCCACAAGCCCTCCCTCTCTCCCTCCCTCATATCCCCGAGACCACCTCCTTCAAACCTGCCGGACTGAAAGGAAGGGAAGGGGGTTGGCCAGGGGACCCAGCTGAGCCAGAGGAAGGATGGCCGGGGGTGCGGGCAGGGCTTGTGGCCGTCCAGGCCTGTCCCCTCCCTGTCATCGGCGCCCACCACCCACCTCTCCCCCATCCCATGACCCTCCACAGCCCCATCCTGGGCCAGGTCTTAAGCACCTACTGTGTGCCAGGCACCGTGCTGGGCAATCAAGACACAGAGATGAGTCGCGTGCCCGTCCTCACCTCCAGTCAGCGCAAGACCTACGCAGAAAGAAGAGAAGGAGTGGAAACCGCCGTGAGGCGACGGCTCTGGAAGCTGGCCTGGGGCGGCGCTGGGCTCCTCTCATCCCCGTCGTTCTGCTCTGCAACATGGGTGCTATTGACACGCACGTCACAGATGAGGAAACCGAGTTTAATGCGGCTCCACAGGAACGGGATGCGTAACGGCAGTCCCCTCCACCCCACTGCGTGCCCCACCAGCGCTGGGCTCCTCCGGCATCCCGGCCACCCTCTCTCTGGCAAGGCAGGAAAACCACCCTCATTGACAGACAAGGTTCAGAAGTCACCTGTCCCAATGGCCCTCCTCAACTTCCTGACCCAGTCCCTCATTTGTCAAATGGGGGCGGCCATGCTTTCCCCTCCCCCACACACGCCCAGGGGCATCGGAGGTGACGGGGTGACCAGAAGGCAGCTTGATGCCCCATGCCAGCAGGCAGGGAGGCGCCCAGCTCCACCCAGGCAGCCAGGCTTTCACCGCAGTGCTCCTTGGGGACCTAGGGCTGTCACAATACCTCCACCACTTGCCACCATTCTTACGAATCCAGATAGAAGCTCTCATCAGCCTGGCATCCCTTTTGCTGCCAGGTGGGCCCAAAAGCCATTGTTGAGAAAGTGAAGAGCTGGCCCCCTCACCCATCCCTCAGCAAAGGAAGCACCTGGTGGCCTGGCCCTCGCCCATCCTCTTCCGGCCTCCCCGCTGGCCTTGTACATACAGCAAAATTGACCTTTTTTGTTGTAGTTATATGAATTTTAGTACATGTATAAATTCGTGTAACCATCACCTCCAACTCGGAGCGCGGCAGTTGCCTCACCCTCACTCTGTCCCAGCCACACCCTCCCCTCACCTCTAACCCCTGGCAACTGCTGATCTGCTATCTGCCACTATCGTTTCCTTTGTGTGTGTTTTTTTTTTCAAATGTGTTCTACGCGTATTAATGCAATCGCATCGCCTAGAACCTTTTGAGACAAGCTTCTTTCTTTCAGCATAATGCCTTTGAGATTCATCCAAGCTGTGTGCCCGTCACAGTGCACTCCTCTTCACCGCAGAGTAGTTTTCCGTGGGACAGAGGTACCAGTCTCATTATCCAGTCACTCACTGAGGGACAACTGGGCTGATTCCAGAGTGTGATGATTATGAACAGAGCTGCTATAAACATCCATGTACAGGCTTTTGTGAGACCACAGATTTTCCTTTCTCAGGTAAACAAATACCCAGGAGTGGGATGATATTGGGTTATATGGTAAATCTACAGTTGACTCTAGGAGAAAGTGCCAGACTATTTTCACAGTGGTGACCCATTTACCCACAGTTCCTCCACAGCCTGGCTGGTACCAGGTACGGTCAGTCTCCTCGTATTTCTAATCCTCACCCAGGCCAGCCACGCTGTCTGACTCAGTCCTTACTGGCTGTGTGACTTAGGAACATCACCTCACTGCTCTGGGCCTCAGTTTTCCCCATCTGTGAAATGGAGCCAAAATTCCCACCTCCTAGAGATCTCGGGGCAAAAAAGAAGCTTGGTCAGAGCACGCAGTGCAGCCACTGCACATTTAAATGAAGAAAACACGTTTAGTGAGGATGTGCTGTGAGCCAGGTACGGGGTGCCGGGACAGGGCCCCTGCCCTTAAGTAGCTCACAGCCTAGGTGGGGCGGGAGCGCTGATCTGTCAGCCATCAACCAGAGCGAGTAGCTTCTCTGAACCCCAGTGTTCTCACCTGTGACATGCAAACAAGTGGAAACCCTTCCTCTTCCCCTACGGCTGCTATAAGGGGAAACAAAATAACTGACAGGAAATGTTTTATAAAGTGCCAGCTAACTGTTAAAGCCAGAAGACCTAATGGTTAAGAGCTTAGCTGCTGATGTCATACTCTGAGTTCAAATCTCAGACCTACGACTTCCTAGCTGTGTGCCTGTGGGCACGTCACTTCATCTCTCGGTGCCTGTCTCCCCATCTGTAGGTGGGGAAGTAAAGGGTCCCACATCATGCGGATGTTGCGAGAATACAAGATGTAATCTCCATGAAGCGCGTGGGACAGCGCCTGGCCCCTGAAAAATGCTCAATTGAGATGGGCACTTAGACGCTCTCACCCACCCCCCCCAGTTCCCCCACGTGGCAGTAGCTCTTGGGTAGAGGCCAGGGAGGACCAGGAGAGGGGCCTAACAAGCATTTCCTAACGTCTCCACCCCACGGGGCAGAGCCCCAGACCTCAGTCCCATGGCATAAGGCTGACACTCAGACCACAGCCCACCAGGCCTGGGCTGTCAATGACACCAGCTCAAAGGGTCAGCTGCCTTCCTCTGCCGGACAACCCCTCCCCACCAACACACAAAGCTCCCCTGCACTTTGAGGCCTGAACCACAAAGCAAAGGCTGTGAGGTGTGGCAGTGCCAACCTGCCGGGGCTGGGTACAGAAAGGGACTCCATTTGACACTGGCATCACTCGTAGAAGGGACTAGCTTTATCGGCAGGTACTGCCATCAGGTAACTGCTCAAGCACTGAGTTCTTTCTATCCCTTCTTCACCTGCAGGGCTGGACTCAGCCCAGGGAGGGGAGGCAGGCAGCTGCAACACGCCTCTATCCCCCAGCCCCTAAACATATCCCACTCCTAAGGCAAACCCCACACACACACCCCTCAGATCTGCCCTTGAACTACCTTCCCCATCAAGGCCACTCTACATGTTTCTTTTAGGCCTGGTCCCATTTTAACCCGAGGACAGAGGGCGCCTCCTTCCACTCCCCTCCCTGCATCTGGCTGGACACTGGCCTTGGGGCAGCAAGATCTGGATTCAAATCCTGATTCTACCCTCTTACCAGCTACGGAGCTTTCGGCAAGTCACCGCATCCCTCCCAGCCTCAGTTTCTGCCCCCGCGAAATGGGGGTAACGAGAACGTCCACTTTGCAGATGTGCCAGAGGATAAAGACGGAGTGCTGGCAGTGCCTGCAGCAACGTGCCCCGCCTGGGACAGGCCTGGCCTGTGCCTCTGCTACTTCCTTCTCTGCATTCAGCCATGCACAATGGAAAAAGCCTGCCTGGCAGGGCTGTCACGCTTCCTTTCCCAGGCCCAGCTGCCATCTGAAGGGCCCCAGGGCTTCCTCAGGTGCCAGGCTTCCTGAGGCCGCCCCCCACCTACATGCTTACTTGGGAGGACCTGCCAAGCACGAAGGCAGAATGTGGCTTGAAGCCCCCCCAGACTCTGAGTTCATGCCCCTCTGCAGTCTGCCCCTGGCTGGCTTCTTTGACCTCAGTCCCAACAAAGCTGGCAAGTCACTGTCCTTTTAACAGTTGCCGCTTCTGAATCCCGGCCCAGCCAGCAAGGCCCTCCCTGCCCTCCGCTCCCCCAACCTGGACGGTCCTTGTTCTTCACATCTTTGCATGGCCTCTCCGCCGGAGGGTCTTCCCAGGGCAGTGCCCTCCCTCTTCTAGACTCATGGGTTTCAGAGTAGGTGGCCACTGTCACTTCCAGCCCATACTCCTGGTCATACTCAGTTGGCTAACTGAGACCCAGTAATTTGAAGGCAGGGCTGGGAGTGCCCATCTGAGTCTCCACACTGGGCCTGAGAGCACAGTAGGCGCTTGATCAGCACTGGTGAATGAGTGACAGTCGGGCAAGGAAAGCAGGTCTCCCTATCCACTCAGACCACGCAGGATCACACTCAGTGCAATCTGGCAGGGCCCAAGGGGGAGGCCCTGCTCCACACACACACTGCACAGGGCAGAAAGCCAAGGCCCAGAGTGGACAGGGTCTGCCCAGGCCACAGGCGAGCTGGTCGCAGAGGAGGGCAGGAAAGGGGCTTTGCAATCAGGCAGGGCTGGGTTAGAGTTTGGGCTCCCCCTACTGGCCAGGTGGCCTTGGGCAAGTGGTTCATGGGGTGCTAAAGACTTGAGGAGGACCGGCCGAGTGGCTCAGTTGGTTAAGAGCTGGCTTAAGAGCAAGAGCTCTGAGCCACGGGGCCGCCAGTTCGATTCCCACATGGGCCAGTGACGCTGCACCCGAGCTGAAGTGCCGCTGAGCTGCCAAAAGGTGGCAGGATGGTTCAGCTGGTGAGTGTGTGTGCTCTTAACAACAAGGCTGCCTGTTCAATGGGGGGGCTACACCTGCCCGCAACTAAGACTGAACTTGGCACCTTGAGCTGCCGCCCAGATGGTTCACTGGATAGAGCATGTGCTCTTAACAACAAGGCTGCTGGTTCGACTCCCGCATGGGATGGTGGCTACGCCCGCCCACAACTAAGATTGTAACACAGCACCTTGAGCTTAGAGGCCACGAGCTGCCGACGGGCAGCCAGATGGCGACTGGCGCCCTCCACAACCAAGACTGAAGAACAACAGCTTGACTGGTCCTCCTCCCCAATTCCCCAACACTGTTCCCTCCTCCAATTCCCCAATTAAAAAAAAAGGAGAGGCTGCAAACACGCTCAAAAAAGGTCCTGGCATATGGGGTGCCCAGGACATGCTGCAGTTAGAGGTCTGGGTGAGGCTTCGCTCCTACCACCTTACAAAGCTGAGGCCAGCACTAGAAAGTGAGCACAAAGGGGACAGGTTTCCCTCTGCAGGGCCTGAGACAGTCCCTGGCACCTGAACTCAACAAATATTTGTGGCCAGAGGCCCCCTGCTGGCCAAAGTCTGACCCCTTGCAGCCCCTTACCCCTTCAGGTGCTGTGACATCAGGGGCTGGGAAAGAACACCCCCAAAAAGCTCCCAGTGGCAGCAAGACAGAGGGTCCAGGACTGGGCAGAGGCCAAGCAAAGCGCCCAGAAACTGAACCAGGCAGGCAGGGAGAGGCTCATCGGGGGTGAAAGTGTCAGAGGTTGATGATAGAGTGTGTGTGTGTGTGTGTGTGTGTGTGTGTGTGTGTGTGTGTGTGTGTTTTGGGGGGGTGGGGAGTATATACTTAACGATTGGTAAACTTGGGCTGAAACCCCAATGCTTTATCTTAATTGTGCTGTGACCTCAGGAAAGTTTCTTAACCTCTCTGCGCCTCTATTTCCTCCTTGGTGAAACCACACTACTACTTCTTAGCTCAGAGGGTTGTGATGAGACATACCGAGAAAAGGCAGTGGAGGGGCCAGTCACCTGGTATGTGCAGTTAGCAAGGACGGCAGTTAGCAAGATTATGGGACTAATGCAGCCCTGTTCTAGAAGCTGAGCAGATGGGGCCGGGGGGCATCATTCTCACGCCCATCCCAGAGGACCCCTCCCAACCCCCTGCAGACTTCCCTGGAAGCCTGGTTTCCATAGAAACGGATGGACTGCAGAGCTGTCCCTGTCATGGAACCTGACTGGCAGGGGAAGGGGGAAGGAAAGGAAGAGGCCGGGGACCCAGAACACCCGCCTGTGGTTCAGGGGGCAGTCACTGCTGCCCAGTCTCTCTCGCAGCCAAGAACCACTTCCTTTCCAAACAAGACCCTCTGCAGGAGGGGCATCGCACCTGTCCCTCCCCCTCTGATAGGGAGAACTGCCCCCAGGGGCATCCACCTCGGGGCTGGAGGTTGGGGAGAAATACTTCTAAGAGCAGGAATTCCCTGTAACCCCACCACAACCCCATGACATTGGCCGTATTTATCACCCTAATTTTACAGATGAAGAAACTAAGGTCCAAGTAACTTATTCAACTGTCTCTTGGAATGAGTGGCAGAGCTGACATTCAAAGCAAATTAACTGTGCTTTAACTGGACATCCTGAGAGGAGGCGGGAGGTGGGGGTGTGCGTGTGTGTATGTGTGGGAGGGATGGCAGGGTGAGATTGTTTGGTGAGACTGACCTCCAAAAACAACAAAGCTCTAAGCCGTCTTCCCCATTGCATCTCCCCTTGAAAGTCCCTGGTGAGTGTCCAGCATCGGAACTCCTCCCTGGGGTCCAGCCTCCCTTGGGTGAAAGCCTATGACTCCAGCAGGACCTGGGAAAATCTGCAGGGAGACCCATTGTTCTGTTATCACATTTGTGCAAAATAGCTGGAAATGGAGTTTGGGGCAGGGCACCACCAGGGGGTAGGGGGCAGTGAGAGACTCAGGTCCCTGGCCAGGGAGAAGGCGAGGCAGGGAAACCCCAACAGGCAGCCAGAGCCTACACCATCCACCCTGTGGTCCTTTCCTGGGGCAACCCATCACCCACCACCTGGGCCCTCAGGCAGAATGAATCTTGGGGGTGCCTAAAGGGATTTGTGTTCACACCTTGGCTGTGCATTACTAGCCCTGTGCCTCTGGGCAGATGACCCTCTCCACTCCTTCATTATAAATGGGGGTGAGAATACCTGGCTTACTAGGTTGTGGGTGGGTTAGAGCTAAATTAAGTCACAGGACACAAAGGAGGCTTGATGGACACATCCCTGACGTTATCACAGCAGCCTCTGGGTGCAGGTGGTTGGGGATGGGGTCTCAGGGCCCACAGGCTAAGGGAGGACGCCGAGGCCAGGCTGCCATGCAGCAGGGCTTCCTTGCAGTGTGTCCCTGGAGAGGGTAGTTATTCTCAAGGCCAGGCCAGCCTTCATCAGCCTTGTCTCCCAAGTAGCCGGTGAGCCCGTGGCGGGCGGGGCTGCATCATCCATCTCTGTCACCTCCCACCATCACCTGGGGCTCAGTGTCCACGCTGCTGCAAAGGGCAAGGATGACAGAGTAGAGCTGGCAGGGAGAGGAGGGCGCATGATGCCAATCCTGCAACAAAGCTCTGTAGTCAAGAAAGGGATGCCACGCCCCATTTCACAAACCTCCAGGAACAGGGGAGCTGGCAGCTGAGGGTTCTCCCTGAAGCTGGAAGGCTGGCTGTTGGGGGAGCCCTGAGTCACTGGGCTGAGACAGGCCAGCTGAGGTCACCGGCAGATTCTCCCATCACAGATAGCCAGGGCAGGACTTTGGGACTCAGTTTCCTCATCTGAAAAAATGGGAGTGTGGTCCCGGCTATGACATTCATGATTTAGCTTCCATACCCTGCGGTCCACTAGCCACACTCTAGCTGCCCGAAAGGTCCTAGCTCCAGCTGCCGGGGGCTACAGGTCCCATCACCCCTCTCACTGCCTCCAGGGACAGGGACACGCATATTTTTTCTCTCTACTAGCGCTCATCTTTTGAAGGCACCTAATTTCCAGAAAGGCAGCGGAAAGCCCAAACTTTCATCACAAACAAGTATCTCCAAAGTGTCAGGAACAAAAAATAAACATTGCCTGCTGTGTTGGAGACAGGGAAGGGTCGGGCAGGGCAGAGGGCCAGGAGGGGACATCCCTGGAGACCTCAGCCAGGGGTCTAAAACTGCTGCTGAGTGTAAAGGGGGTGGGGGGCAGTCATCGTCACCACTCAGGAGTCACTGAGAGAGTTTTCCCTGTTCCTACTGTCACTCACAAAGAGCAGAGCACATGGAGAATTCCTGTCCTTTTCAGGCCAGGAGTGGGCCAGGCTCTCCCTTGGCCCAGTGACCATGTCAGGGACCTCAGAGGCAGCTGGTGCTTGTGTATTCCCAGGGGGCCACGGTCCTCAGGACAGCCTTGCTTCCGGATCTCATGCTGCCAGAACTCTTCTGAGAAGGCCGTGGACACATCCCCCTCCTCTCCCACCTCCCCCCGCCCCTGTAGATGCTCAGGAACTCAGAGTGGGAAGAGAGGAGAGAAGGAGGGGAGATTCCTTGAAGGGATGCATCACCATTTTGAGGCAACTTCTTCAGAAGCAAGTGGTGATTTGCCTTCTGGATGGGTTGGGGGAGGCAGGCAGAAGGGTCCCTGTACTTTTCCCAGGACGCTGGTGGGCCAGAACCACAGTCCAGGACTGACCATCTCTTCCAGGGTTTGGGGCTCTGGCTTAAAGTGTTTAAAGGAGGTCACAACTCAAAAGGCCTGTGTTTAATTCTGGCCCTACACACTTGTTAGCTGCATGGCCTTGGGCCAGTGACACCGCCTTTCTGGGCCTCAGTTTCCTCATCTGTTAAATGGGTGTAATAATGACACCTACCTCTCACCAATGAGAAGATTAAAAAAAAACACCTACAAAAGTACATGCTTCCTAGTGAATGCTCCATAATCATGTTGCTGTTATTCTCAGACTAGGAGAGGCCATTCTTTGCCTCAGTTTCCCCCTTGGCCACACCAGCTTCAGAACAGGTCCCCTTCCAGAACAAGGGTCACTCTGGGTCAGGAGGAAGATGCTGCCCCAAGTGCACTAACAATACGGTGGGCAGGGAGAAACTGAGGAGGGGGCTGGCAAGGGGCTGTAGAGATATGGAGTCCCTTGGGTTACTAAGCCTGGGTGGTTCCCCTTATGTCCCCGGTTCTTGGCCAGGCCTGGACCTGGGAGGGACACAACCAGCGCTGTGAATGAACGGTTGAGCTACAGGGTAAAGGGAAAGTATTGTGGGCCAGAAGTCAGAATATTAGGTACCCTGCCTTGCAGCTGCCTCTCTTGTAATACATGTTCTGGGGTGACTTATATGCTGTTTCTGGGCACCACTTCTCTCATGTGTGAAATGGGGAGGCTCCCTCCCTTCTCAGCCAGTCCTGCCTCCTATCTTCCCCACAGCCTCACTCTACCCTCCTTGCACTGGCACGTTGCAAAGGTAAGAACCTTTCCTCAAACACAGTTGGCACATTCCAGCCCCAGGGCCTTTGCACAAGCTGTTCTCTGCAGGATCTTTACTTCCTGAGGCTATCTCCACAGCTCACTCCCTCAAAGCCTTGGCTCTAAAGTCGTCACCTACCTCCTCAGGGAGGCCTCCCTGACCACCCTATTTAAAATGGCCATCTCACCCCTGGCCTTGACACTCAACTTTTCCTCTTTACCTCCCAATACACTACATAATTTGCTTATTGATTTTATTATTTGCCCTTCCCCACTTTAAGTGGCAGCTCCATGAGGGAAAGAATCTGTATTTTGTTCAAAGCTGTCTCCCAGTGCCTGGAACTGTGCCGGGCACTTTGTTCACGAACTCATTTTTGGTGGAGAGCTCACATTTTGTTCAGCGAGGGAAAGTAAAGAACAGGACAGTGTGGGATATAATTGCATTCCCCCTCCTACCCCCAGAGGGGCAGACCCTTTCTCCAGTACAGTATAGGGGTCTAACACAAGATCTTGGGGAAGGGAAGGCAGCTGAGTGGAGGTGGGGGGGTTAGCCTGGGGCAGAGGCCTGCAGAGGGGGAGCCTGAGCAGTGGATCCAGCAGGTGTTCACAGCCAGATATGGGTAAAGGGCTTTGGGCCTCAGCCCTCCGCTCCAAATTTGGAAGGGATGATTAAGCTGACAGCATATGGGTGGAAAAGGAGAAGCCAGGGCAGCTGACTCCCAGGATATTGGGGCCAGAGGGGGCCTCAAAGACCAGACCGCCCATGTTTCAGATGGGATACCAGAGACATGGAGAAGAGACAGTACCTTATTTCCCAATAACCCAAAAAGAAAAATCTTTCCTCCTGGGCTGAGTGTGGAGCTTTGGCTAAGGAACGGTCAGTGCCCCCTCCTGACTCCAACAACCGCCCCCACCCCACCTCCAGTGTCCCAAGGATTTGCGGGCTGCAGGAAGACAGGCCGCCAGGGACGGAGGTGGGCATCCCTGCAGCCCAGCGACCTTCATCCCGCTGGACCGCCCCACCAGGAAAAGTTTGTTTGAAGGAAATCAACCAGGAACTGCCGAGCAGCCTTGGCTTAGGATGAACCTCCGGGTTTTCCGCCTCCGCCTCGCTCCTGGCCCCCGCCGCCAACGTTCCCGCGGAGAAACCCGCTCCCCTCCCACTGCGAGGCGGCGGTGGGAGCCGGGGACTGGGTGGGGGCGTGAACGGTGGTGCGAGGAGACGCAAAGCGAGCGCCAGAACCTGCTGGGCGCGCCAGGGGTGGGCGCGGCGTTCTGGTGGTTCCTTTAGAGACCCCCAGGGTGAGGGCGAGCTTTTTGCCGATGGCCGGGAGCCCCAGCCCATCCTGCGCCAGGCCAGTTGCCCACCACCACCCCATTCCTGCTGCGCGCGTGACTTGGGGCAGAGTGGGGGGCGTATGTCTCCACCTGTGCTTCCCCTACCCCGCCCCCAACAACTGGGGCTTAGGCGCGGCTTCCATTTCTGCCTGCTCCCCCACCCTCCCAACCAGCCTGAAGACTGGGGTCTCCCCAGTCTTGTTCCTCCCCGCGCCAATGTGTCCTTTATCTACATTCAGCCACTCACCGCTTTCCAAGACCCCAGGCGGGGAACTCTGGGCTGTTGGGCGCCCCCGGATTCTAGCCCAGCATCCCCGCCCCCACGGCCCCCCCAAACCAAAAGGTCGTTCCAGACTTGTGGGCTGCGGGAACTCCGACACCTCGGTCCGCGGCCCAGCGGGGGCGACGAGGGGAGAAAGGGACTCGCAAGTTTGTGCAGCGCACTCCCCGGACAGGGGAACAATGGCGGGGAAGGGGGGAGGGGGGGGAGAAGGGGAGCGGGGGCAGAGATGGAGGGGGAGGGGACAGACAACCAAGCGCGGCGACAGTCAGACCCCAGCGAGAGAGAAACTGCTTTTCGCTCCGTTTCTCTTGCTTCGAAGCAGAGAACGCGAGCCCGGGAGGGCTGAGGGCAAGATAAACAGTCCAAGAGGGAGGAGACGGCGGAGGGACAACGCCGGGGAGAGGGAAACCGAGTCAGAGGGAAGGGCAACGCGCGGAGAACGCGAATGGAGGAACAGAAGGGCTTCGGAAACGCGCCTTGCAGAGCCGGGGAGGGGACCCCTGGGGTCCCGGCCGAATCCACCGGTGCCAAGAGGTCCTGGAGCGCCCAGCTTGTGCGCACGGGGTCCTCACTGTCCCCTGCGGTCCTTGCGGCCGCAGGAGCGCCGCTGGGCTGCGCTGCGCAGACACCGGCCGGCCGGCGGCGGGAGGGGAAAGTGCGAGGTTCCGAAGCGGCGGCGGGGAGCAGAACTCACGTTCCTAGCGCATGCTGGCGCCGGCTGCGCGGAGCTGGCGTGCTGGGGAACCTCCGGCCCTCCGGCGCTCACATCGCGTTCCCAGCGCCGGGCAGGACAGGGCAGGGCCGGGCTGGACTGCGCGCGGCACCCACCGTGGCCGGAGTATGCCCGAGTCTGGCGTCCCGCGCTGGTCCCTCCTCTCAGTGCCGCGTAGAAGCCAATGGCGCGCCGTCCCCTCCCACGCGCCGGGCTGCCTCGCCCCCGAGGGTGGCCGCCGGGGCGGGCGGGAGAGAGGGGTTGGGGGGAACTGGGCTCCGGGCTCCCCTGCTGAGGCTTTCCTAGAGACCGCCGGCGGGGGGCGCGCTCACGCCCCGGGAGAAGGCGCTTGGGAATCAAAACTCCAGGCCCGCGCCGCCCAGGAAGACTTTCTTGGCAAGTTCTGAAGACTGTCCCTTTTGTGAGACTCTGAACACTCCCATAGTTTGGCAAACCACACTGTCTTAGATACCTTTGGTGTAATCCCTGGGCCTAGGCCAGTGTCTAAAATGGAAGGGACTGCTTGGCTGGTTAGACACTCAAGTGTGTAGTAACACGATTACAGTGGTCACCTGCTGAGCGCCCTCCACTCAGTAACAAGCCCCTTGCGCTCAAGGAGTGACAGGTATTCACTCGTTTGATTCTCACAATCACCTATGAGGTCGGGGTGATCAATCCCATTTTACAGATGGCTGTCATGAACGTTTGATTTTGTTTAGCCTTCTGGCTTCCAGCCCAGGCCTACCCTTCTCTCCCCCGACTACGTAGGCGTGACTTTGCCAAATAACATGACACCACCATACACCCACCCACACACACACACACACACACACCCCTTCATCCTCCACCCAGCCTCAGCTATGTTGCTGTAAATTGCACTGTCACTGACTAAGATCTTATCTGGGGCTCATGGACATGTGGAGGTGGGGGAGGCACAGTTGTTAGATTGGTGGAAAGGTGGGTAAGAATGGGGTTTGGGAGTTCTGGAGGCTCTCTGGGAGCCTTTCAACCTAGAAGAACCAGGCTCCAATAAACAACCTCTCTCCCCCCAGATTCTGGAACCATTTCAGCCCCCTGTGAGCAGGAATGTGCTCGACCCAACTCCCATCCCCGCTTCACCCTCCCTAGAAAACCGCCTGCATCTCTTCATCTTGTCTAATGGTCACAAATTGGGGGTGGGGGTGGAGGGAAGAGGAAGGTTGCTGACATGCTATATTTCACAAGACAAGTGCATGGCCCAGAGAGAGGCGAGTGGTGCCCCAGGCATCTAGCTAGGTGGGCATTTTGACTCTAGGTCTGAGCTCTTTCTGCAGTAGTTCCTTAAAGGTGAATCGAGCAGGCTCTGGAATCAGACTGCCCAGGTTCAAATCCAGGTCCAGCCTTTTGGTGATCACGGCCTTGGGCACACACAGATAGCAACAGAAGAAACAGCTCACAATAAAGGCAGAGTGCTTGGGGGGCCAGAGTGAAAGGAGGAGATGATACCCATCACCCTCCCCCCAGCAGCCACTTTCCCTAAAGAGCCCATTAGACGCTCTGTTCTCTTCCTTCCTATACACTTTTCTAAAGTGAAGTGCATCTAATTCAGGAACATTCCTTAGACAGCCCTTCTGCCCTTCGTCTTTCTGAGTTACCTCATGTTTACGTGCAGCATAAAAAGGTTCACCTCGCCGGGCTATTGCGAGGATTAAAACTGACATTCCTAGAATTCATCCCAAATCTAGGCAAGAATAGGTGCTGGGCACATGGTAACAACGAGGTGTCATTATTTAGGGTGCAGGAGAAGGAACCTTAACAGAGAGGGCTTAAGAAGGGGGTTACGACCCTGGCCCTGCTTCTAACTAGCTATGTGACCCTCTGCTGCACCTGAAACATGGAACTATAAAAACACCTGCTTCTCAGAGCTTGTGAGAGTCAAGTGAGAAGATTAGATGAGAAAACTTTGCCAATTGGAAAGGCTGATTCCAGTTATTATCATTATTATTATGATTCTCATTATTGTGAAATGTTTCCCTCAAAACCCCAGGAAGGGGGAATGGAGCCAAGAAGGCCAGCTGGGGGAGGGTCACTCCCCTCCAGCCTCCCACAGGAGCGTGGGAGCAGCTAGGCCTCCATCTGCCTTGGTTCCCCTCAGCAGGGGCGGCCTCACCTCCTCAGGGTCCTGGTGTGAGTTAGTGTGCCCATATGTGTGCCTGTGCAGGTGGGTGCTGGAAGGTGACATGGACACAAGGAACGCCAATGTCTGTGGCCAGAAACCCCTTAGGGATTGTGAATTCCCCTGGGAAAAATGCAAATGCAATTGGACTTAAAAGGTGCCAGCAGTGGGCCTAGTTTTGGCACCTGGGAGGTGCAGGAGAGGGCCTAAGGGGCGGGATGTTGGCCCTAGCCTTGAGGCCAGGACCTGGAGGGAGGTCTCTGCAGTGACCCACATCCTGAGGATGGAGGGCACGTAGAAGAAGAGGATGTTGTCAGAGACCCTTGTGGTTGAGGGATTTTGGGGCTGATGGACCTGGGTTCAAATCCAAGTTATGGGGCTATGGGTCAGTGCTTTCATTACTCTAAGCCTCAGTGTCCTGGTCTAAAATGGGGATAGTAGTGGAGCTTACCTCCTGGGGCTTATTGGGAGTTTAACAGAGAGGGTGCACATAAAGCAGGGAGCAGGCACATAGTAAATGATTGTTGCTGATATTAGTAAGCAGTCCAGAAGAAGGAGGAAGGAAGAGGGCCTCGGGAGACGCTGGTGCTTTGTAAACCGTAAAAGGTAACTCTGGGGTGAGAGTTGTCAAGCCAGGGTGGTTGAAGCTGCCACAGGAGTACCATTTGGGCCAAAGATAAAAGGGCCACTGTCCCAGGGAGTGAGGCAGGAGGGCTGGGCTTTCATAACGCCTGCTGGCTCCCCTTCCTGGTTCTCCTCACTTCCTTCTAGAGCTTCCTTCCCTTGGAGCCTACTTGGTAAGCAGACCTCTGGGGCTTTCCCTTCTACCCCTAGTGACCACAGGTTGAGCACAGTTCTGGGAACCGGGAGGAGCAGCTGGGAGCTCAGCAACTCTGAGGCAGGCCTCCCCCACACTATCCAGACCTCCTTCCCTTCCCTTCACCCCACTCCTCCATGGCTACCCTCCTTCCTGTGAATCATCCCACTGCTCACTGCCGCTGCTGCTGCTCCAGGACCACAGAATGCCAAGCAGCTCCTCACCTCGGGGAGAGACGCCAGGATGGGGTGGAAGCCATATGGTTCAGCCCTTCCCAAAGGAAGGACATGACAGCTCAGGTGCCAGAGGACCACAACAAGCCAGTTCCTGCTTCCAATGGGGGCAAGGCTCAAGGGGACAGGTGAGAGCAGGACTTGGCATTTAGACCATCCTGCATTTAGAGTCAAGGCCCTAGTCCCGGATAACTAGCTCTGTGGCCTTAGGCAAGTGTCTCAACCTCTCTGAGCCTCAGTTTTTTTATCTGTCCAATGAAAAGAGGGAAATCATGATGACGGACAGGGTACTTGGTGGATTAAGTGTAAGTCCTGAACTCAGGGCCTGGTTCACAGTAAGCATTCCATAAATGTTCATTGACTCAAAGAATGAATGAACATATGGAAATGAAAGTGAGTGGGGATGGAGAGGCGTGCGTGTGGCTGTCTGTAGGAAAGCCATCCTGCACCAGCCAGGAGAGCCAGGGGATGATCTGGGGACCCTGTATCCTAGGCTGAAGACACCCATTGCTCTGTGCTGGTGTGAGGGGGACAGCTTCCACAGCTCAAGATAAAATATAGAGTATTCCTTTGGGCACAGCTGATACTTGTAAGCCAAACAACAGCCTCAGGCTGAGAGTCCAGAAGCTCTCAAACAACAGGGTGTTACCTGTGCCAACAGATTGTAATTCATAAAACCGCTTTGGAGCAATGGCTCTCAGTGTGGTTACAGGGAACATGTTAGCAATGCAAATTTTCAGGCCTACAGTAAGACTACAGAATCAGAAACTTTGGAGAAAGGGAGTGGCTGGAGAGTTTCAACATGCCCTTTAGGAGATTCTGATAGGAGCTAAAGTTTGAGAGCCATTGTTTCAACGTTTGCAAAGCAGATTCCTAGATTCTCTCATTGAAAATGGTATGATTGGCTCATTCTACAGGTAAGGGTAACTAGTCTCCCTTTGCCAGGTAGCACCCATCAGGGAAGTGGAAGAGATGGACCCAGAACCCACAGGTTTTGGTTCTGGAGTTTTTTTGTTTGCGTTCTCAGGATCAGACTACCGACTCAGGTAGGGAGGGAGAGGGGGAGGGGCTGAGACGGGGCGCTGGCTCCCTCCCCCTTTCCCAGGAGCGGGGGCAGGTGGTGTTTGTTTATTATTCCCTTAGAGGTGCCCCAACCCAAATCTACATAAATAAAGCCCAGCCTGGCGCTTTGAGGGATCGTTTTTATTAATACCCGCGGGTCGCTGCCGAGGCGGATTGCAATAATAAAGGCGGCGGCCCCGCCGCGAGGTATCATTATGTAATTGCTCCGTGAAAGAGCTGAGGGCCAGGGCGCCAGAGGCCCTGAGCGCCCGTGTCCGCGTACTGAAGGTGGGCTGGGGGCTCCAGCGGCGGGGAGGCTGCGCTCCGGGGTGCAGGGGCTCCGAGGTTGTGGGGCAGACGGGGAAGGGGGCACCAGCCTAGGAGTCCTGGCCCGCCTTATCCTGCACGCTTCTCCCTCCCAGGCCCGGAAGAGGGTTAACCCCTGCGTGGCGGGGTGCAGCCCTGTGCATGGGACAAAGGAGCCCCCAGAGGCAGATCCCCTGTCCCTTGGGACCCTGGAGGCTAAGCCAGGGCTTCCCCTCCCCCATTCACCACCGCCCCTCCTTGCCCCACCCTCATTCTAACTTGGAGGAGTGAGAAAGATCAACACGTTCAGCAACTTCTGGATGCCAGATGGGTGACTTTCATACCAAACTCAAGGCAATCTATGAGGTGGCCCATCTTACAAATGGGGACCTGAGACCCAGAAAGCCTGGCTTCATGCACGAAGAACTCCAGTCCCTGAAATCCTCAGTGCCAAAGCCCACTTTTTTTTCCCCCTTGTACCCCACAAGTGGTCTTTATAAGCACCATGAATCAGTTGTTGCCTCAGTTTCCCCAGTGGGAGTCAAAGTGCCAAGATGCTGTTGACAAAGTGGAAAGTACTGTGTGCTTTCAACATTAGGGGCCTGGGGAAGGGGCTTGGCACAGGCAGCACTGTAGCTGGGGTGCTAGTGTCCACCCGGAAGATGGTGCCAAGGGCATGCCA